TATACTGCTGCTTTGTATGTATATACAGAATTACGTGATGGTACAAGCAAATTGATGGCTATAAATTTAGTACTACTGCTATTAAAAATAGCAGTAAGAATTTCTCAGTTAGGATGAAGAGGAAAAGATGCATCTGAAGGATGGCACGGAAGGCAAGAATCTCTTAAACAGTCAGTTCTTGGTACATGGAAAGAAGGAACATGTGGCAAGGCAGCATGGTGTTGCCTATAGGTGCCAGGTTCTTTGGCAATTGTTTGATGCAGTATTCGTGGCCCTTATCCATTTGAGGTATCTTCATTTTTATGGGACTGTGAGAAAATCCTGCTATTGCCAGGATGTTATCAGAGCCTGACAGAGCTGATGCATCTTGAAGAGCAGGAACATATGTAAGCAACCGCTTGTGGAAAGGTGAGTTCTCTACGAAACAGGTAAGAGCTGCCAGCTGTCACTGTTCTCACTGAAAACTGAAGAAGCAGCTCTACTGCTGGAATAAAACATGCCGTGAGGACTTGGAAGAAAGAGTTTTCAGGCTCACCTAAGGATTTGCTGCAAAGTTCATTTTGGTAATTATTCTGCCTACTTAAGTTTCCTTTGTAGTTTCTGTGACTGTTGCAAATAAAGGGCTGTTATATAATAGCTCTTGAGTGTTGCAAATGACCTCATCAGCAAAACGAACTTTTGTATGTTCAATTTTTCTTTATGGATTGTATTATCTGTCCTAATGAAGAGTTACTGGGGGGTGAAGAGGAAAACAGAGCAAGAATTTTTTGTTTAAGCAACCCAACTCCTGCAAACTGGGGAAAAAAAAAGAAGAAAGGAAAAAAGAAGTGTGCTGCAGAAAGAATGACTATTGGATGACTATTTACTGCTGCTTTTCAGCTGGACATGAGATAATTGTTTTGCCAGCTTTAGGTGTAAAATGACAAAGATGCTAAGTATGTTTTTCGTAAGGGAAAGATGGGGGTAAAAATTTTACCTTCCCTCAGAAGAGATTTTGTGTGTCAGATAAACATAACAATGGAGGATATTTGGAAGGAGTCTGAAGAAACTAGGCATACTAAAACTAAGGTGATGGCAGATGTTAAGTATGAGATCTGTGTTCAGACTGACTTCCTGTTTAAAAATTTAGAGGCTGTTTGTGTAGTATTTTGCTATGAAAATTGTTTGGTTTCTGGATTCTGCTGCTATCGCTTCTGGAGGGAACAAAACTACAAACAGTGAAGATGATTTTTGGTTGCTTGTAACCACGTAAAGAACTTGTGTCGTGGTCATATGAGCTATTGAGATAGGCATGGAAAGTTGAGTGATGTTGGCTCAGATTCTGGCAATGGTGTCTGTATAGCTTCTGTATATTGTTTTACACATTTCTATGTCAAAATGTCATTTCTTTCCTCTTGGAAAAGTGAAATGATTTTTGAATACAAAGGGTTTGTTAAAACGTCCAAGACTCCAACGCAGTGAAAAGTTCTATGAAAGATATTTGTCATGGCTAAGCCCAGAGGTTCACCTGATTGTTTCTGTTCCGGAATTGTATGCAGAAGTGTAAGAAGATATTTCTGCTTTGATTGCTGGTCCAGTTGCCTGAAGGGCAAGTGCTAACTTCCGTCATGCTCCTGGGCCCCGGACTAACTGGGGTTGAAACGTGACACTGGAGGCTTATGTTCCACCCTAATGCCTGCTTGGTTAGTCTTCCATCTCACACTCTCTATGTTTATTAAGTGTTCAGTATTAAATAGTAAGTCGTCCGTTGAGGCTTCTCAAACCAAACGCACTGCTTCCGCTTGTTGATGGGGTGATTGAAGAAATCACAATTCTCATCTTTCTCCTTCTTGGCCCTCTTCTGTTACAGAGGGGAATGTCAGTGGAGCTCTGAGCACTGGGAAATAATCACGTTAAACCAAGGTTAAAATACTGTCCACATTGAAATAATTAAGAAAATTCCTGTTATTTGCAGGATGTCTCGGGCTTCCTTCAGTCTGTTCTCTTTATTGGATAAACACTAGTCATCCAGGATTGATTCTTCTCTGATGCTGTTTATAGGCAGGAGTAAGTTACTGTGTTTAAAAAGAGTCATCTTTCTTCAAGGTGAGCAATGTTTGTGCTTTCTGAAAAACAACATCCAAATGTAAGGTCAGAGTAAATCATGATGTATAAAACACATCATTAAAAAGTCTAGGTTAGTTAACCTGAAGATCACAAATTGAAAAAATAAGGTTCACAAAGATCATAATTTAAGCACAGTATGTTTACATAATGGTATCATAGGTATAGGATACTGCATGCAAGAAGGTATTGGTTCTTGGGTTGCAACATCTCCTTCAGCTTCCAACAAATTCTGTGGCTTGGTGAAAACAGAGATGGCTGAACATTGCAACTTCAGTGAGGCAGGAGGAGCAGATTTAATACATGCGTATGTATAACTTGGTATTGATTGCAGTAAGATAATTGTGTGTTTAATGGTTGAGCAGATTGAGTTGCAGTTCGTAGATTTCCCAGGAGTTCAGTACACTGCACTGATTATTTCTGTCCTGCAGCTGAAATAATTCGCTCTTTTATGTTTCTTCCCCAACTTCTCTCTCACTCATGTTTATCTTAAATATTTTTCCCCAAGTTTAAAAATTGTTTGCACTGATGTTAGATCCTTTCCTGTTGCTGAATCTACCCTAGAATGTGACATCACAGGGCTTGGAAAGATACTGCAAGTTGCTACTACTTTCATATTTGTCTTTTTCTGAGGGTAGTGAGGACATTGATCATCATCTTGGTGGATTCCAACAAGAAGGGGTTTTGGAGCTGGAAGTATTTAGGATAAATACTGTGAATTACTGTTACTATTACAGTTACTGTTGAGCCAAATAATAGAAAATATACTTTAAGAAAAAGTATTTTGAACAGTATCTACCTTAGGTACCTGTGGTTGTGCCTTTCTAAGTAGTGGTAGGCTCCAGGAGGAGGTAGTTTGTCCTGAATTTCCTGTGCTATTGGTTTGAAGGAATTTCTCTTTGAGCTTTGTGGAAGTTTGTGGTTCTAAATTTCATCAAATGCGTTGCGTAGATGATGTGTTACTTTTCCCTAAGGATGTCTGGGCTGAGATTTTTGCCTCGCATTAGAATTAAACTTGTCTTTAGACATCTTCATCACTCACTAATTGTGTGAGTCTTTTTGTGTCAAGTTTTGCCGTAACCAAAACTTGTGGGTTCATGGAGCATCTGAGCACTCGGCCCTTTCCCAGTTCTGTGCCCTTCTTTCTGTTCCTTATTCACCTTGCTCTTCCTGCTTCTATTCCATTTTGCACCACACATTGATTGCCTTCCCCAACATCTGCAGTAATACCGTAGATATACATTTTTTTGCCAGGCCTTTTAAAAATAAATTATTACAGAGATGGGAAATAAATAGCTTGCTGCACCCACAGCAGTCTCTGTGCTAGGAGATAAAGCAATCAGTTTGCTTGTGAGTGTCCTTAAGAAATAGTTCTTGGGATATGCTTGGGGGCTGCCAACAGGCGGTGCAGCAGAGGGAGCAGGGGCTGGCTGAAATGTTCTCAGCCAGGAAAAAATTTATCATGGAATTATTCCTTTTCCTTCATGATGCATGTGTCCCCTTGAAACTTAAATCTTAGCTTAAGTTACCTAAGTGGATATCTCCACTGGAGGGAATTCTGCTGTGGAGAAAACTTGCAGAACAGTTAAATGCAATTCTGCTGATGCTGCTTTTAACAATTGGAATAGAAAATGAAATTATGAGCCTTTTTTCTTCTTCTTCTTTTCTTTCTATCTTTTCCCCCCATAGGATTTTGTGGTTTATTTGCCATGGTCCATGTTCAGTCACAGATATTCTAAACACAACAAATGAGATCAATACATCTGCAAATAGATAGTTTGGGATGTGTGTGTGTATATAACTACCATGTAGGGCAGTTATCCCTCGGTGCTTCTTTCCTTGTGACTTTCTGTTTAAGGTGAGAGCTTTAGATTTGTTAGAATTTCAGAAAGAAGGAACCATGGAAAAAGAATCCAGTTGCAGTCTAGTTTGAGGTTGATTGATAGAATAATCCTTTATTTAACAGTGATACTCATTATATTCATCATCTAGATATCTTCAGACCAAAGTTCTGGCATGATCTTTTCCCTTTTGAGGGTGGGCTGTAGTGTATTCTCACTCAAGGCAGAGGTTTATTAAGAGTGTATGGGCTTACATCATAAATGGTTGCATTTGCAAATGGGTGAAAGTCAGAGCTGAGGAGAGAATTGTGCAGTAGGTGGTAAAGGGGAGAACAGGATTGGGAGCTCCTTAAGCTAACTTTAAAGCTGAAAAAAGTATTTCTATTGCATTACAGCTTGACATTTGAACTGCATTTTCTTTTGGTCTGTTTGTAGAGCTGAAAATCCTCTTCTCCTGTTTTCATGAATGTCAGTTATGCACACGACAATGTCACAGGTTAATCTCTACAGATAAATAAATGATTTTATTATTATTTTTTTAATCTTTCACTGGAATCTGAAATCTCTAAAGCACTGACATCTTAACGTTTGACATCTAGAAAGTTCTGGAGTCAGGAAATCCCTAATAACCCCCTGAAGTAGAATCTTCGATATCCCTTCTGTTGTGTTGTCAGAACTAAGTGGAGCAGTGTCAGCACTCTGCTGTAGGAGAAGGCTGAGTCTGTAAAATAAAAAGAGTGTTCTGGTTCCTAGGATTCTTTCAGCTCAATTGTGATTAGTGCAAAGTTATTTTCCAGCTGATTCCTAAAGCTGTATTTGGCAGGTTGCTGTTTGCTGTTGCCTTCAGATAGTTCTGTTCCAGGAAACTGCGCAGAGCGTTTGATCTCCTATTTCAACAGTGCATGAGGGGTGAATGCTTTGCTTTGTAGGAGAGCGTACGTTCATACATGCGGTGCGGACACGGAGAATAATTGTGATGTCAATTTGTATTTAATGCGATTACCCTAAAATAGAGAGAGCTCTTCAAAATACGCCATTTGTTTGTTCCTTTTGCAGGCATAACAAGTAGCACCGAATGCTCCTGTGGACGCAATCACTTCACGTGTGCAGTCAGTGCTTTTGGGGAATGTACATGCATCCCGGCTCAGTGGCAGTGTGATGGAGACAATGACTGTGGGGACCACAGCGACGAGGATGGCTGCAGTAAGAATACCGTTTGTGACTTGTGTTTGTGTAAAGCTGAATGTCTTAACTCTTCCTCTGCAGATGCTTCTCTTTTACAGACAGGTCCTACTTTCTGACTGACAGAAAGGTGTTTAAAGTTGTAAATGGCCTACTTTTGGCTGACTCTTGTAATCTACCAGGGTCAGCATCTGCTGGCAGAGCACAGTGAAAGCCATCTTTGCCTTTTGCAGAGGTTTTGGAATGTTTGCTGGATGTTTTATAAAGAAAAACAGGTAGAAGTACTTCTTTTTTCTCTACCCTTTCAAAAACACTCTGTATGCACAAAGTTACATGGTTCTTCTGTAAGTAGTAATAAAAAACAAACAAACAAAACCAAAACACAATATGGTGTATATTGAAGGTAGATAAAATAAAACTTTCAAACGCTTATGGTTTCAAATCCAGCTTCTCTATGAAGAGATGTTAAGACAAGCACTGTGATTGACTTCCACTGGCTTTGGGATTCACTGATTAGCTTGTAGCTGCTGTGTTATCTGTATTTTGTCAGCATCCATGTAGCTGAGTGCAGATGGATGGGAACTGATCAGAAGTCTCAATCTTAGAGGGTCTATCATAATATAACGAATAGGAAGAGAAAATTCTTTTCCATGAGGCCACAATGTAGTTACTTTCTTCCCTTGACTCTTTGGATTCCACAGACCTTGGTAAAATTAAATGAATAGAGAAAAAGGCCCAATTTCATGGAATTCCTTTCCTGAAAGTTTTCGTAGAGCTGAAGACTTAAGACTCCTCTTAAGACTGCATGAATGTGATTGAGAAATAGATCTTCCTCTGTTGGATATTTCTGCCTGGTTTCCTTTGTTCCCGTCTGTAAGAAAAAAGAGCTTCCCTCATCATCGGTATATTGTTTTTACTCCTCTTTAAGTTTTTTTCAACCCAGCTGTAGGAAATCTTTCTTCATTCTCAGTTCTTGTTTCTGACAGTTTTTCACAAAATCATGAACACACAGGAGGCTTTGGTGAAAAGAGGATTTTTGAGAAATAGGTCGCCAGCAAACTGAGGTCATCAGTGTTTTTGTTTAAATATGATTCATGAAAGGGTTACTGGGCAAGGAAGGAACTTTAACTGGAGAAATTATTGAAAGAAGTGAAAGTGTGAAAGCAAAACCTGCATGTTTACATTTAGTAATGGAAAATGGAAATTATAACAGCAGGAAAGAGGAGATGAAGATCTGAGATCTAAAGAAATAATATTAAAATCTCAAAAGAACAAAAGAGAGCTGAGGCTGAAAAAAAGAAGAGAAACTGAGCAGGAATATGAGAAATGGGGAGGTAAGGTTATCCAGTAGCTAAATTGGTTTGGCTAGCCTCTTCCTGAGCACAGAAACTTGTTTATTTTTTTCTGTGATTATGTTTTCCAAATCTATTGGAATGCCTTGAAAGAGTTGGTCACCATTCAGACAGGATTTGTTTGTTGAAAAGGTCTACTCTGTGCATTAATACAGTCCAGCACCAAAGATTCTTAAACTAAGCAACTGCAGAAACAGTTGTGGAAACAGAAGAGGGAACTAGCAAGAGATTTTTTGAAATTAACAGGAGTTACTTCATCATTTGATATGTACTTAAGCTGTGGGTCTTCTTACCACAAAACACTGATTCTGAAATTTCAAACATTTTTAAAAAGCAATCTGATAAGTTAAGCAGTGGGGTTAAGGACTCTATAGAAAAGGTAAATGCAGGGCTTCAGTGCACAAGTGCAGGATTGCAATGGGAAGGCCCTGGGAACAGTTTTTCTATTAAGTTTTCTTGGTTTTGCTTTGAGTAGCTGCTGCATATGATTCCAAATATGTGATATTATTGTTAGCTTGTAAGACAGATTGATTATTCAGTATAGGCTCTTGGTAGTTGTCTATGATAAATCATATCTTGCATAGACATTATTGCATTGAAATTCTTCGCTAAAGATCATTTGTTAAATCTGTCTATTTTGCTTGGCTTATTGGAACCTTGGAAAGATAGACCCTTTCGTGGGGATAAGTTTCAATTTTATTGGTTTACTGACTGTGCCAACATAAAGAAGACAGAAGGAGTACAAGAGGAGGGTTAGCTGTAAGCTCCTTTGAACAGCAGTTCAAACTTTAAACCAATGTAAGTTTCTCACAAATCAGCACTGATAGTTGTACACAGTATATGAGAATGATCAGTTCATACACGGCCGGCAAGGAAAAAAAAGTGTATGATTTGTGTGCACTGTTTATGGTTGGAGTGAAGTTTTCAGCAACATCTATTTTGACCTTGATTTATTTTCTATTTATTGACTTTTACTGAGTGTTAATTTCCTGACATATTGAGCTACAGGTTTGAAGTTACAGATTGTCCTGATGAGGTCATCCTAGAACCTGACTTTAAAGGCTTAGCTAAGAAATCAGTGAGGTTTCTCACAAACCATGGAATAGTCTTCATGCTGAGATGAGCCTAGTAGTTTGTTCTGAGTCATGAGCCAAAGTATGTGCAAACACTTGAGTAAACTGGTCTGAGATGCTCAAACCATCATCATGATTGTTTTTCAGCATTATGCAGAAGTAGAACTCAGAGTGGTAAAGATAGGAGCTAGAATATCATCAAGTAAGTGTCTCTGATGAAAGAACCAACAAGTGATTGCAAGAAATCCTACATTTCCCCTGGTTTCTTCCAGGTTCATCTTAGAAGAGTTGCTGTAGCTGTCCAAACTTTTCAGAAAAATTAGGTTGTGACCATGCTTGTTTTAACATCTGTTTATCCTTAAGTATATCAGCTGATATGTATACTCTATGCAGATGAAATAAGAAGTTTCTAAGAGTTTTGTCAACTTTATTGAAAAATTAAGGTGAGAGTGGGAAGACTTTGGACAGCTACATTCCTAATAAAGCAGGAGAGTGAAACCCAGGGTAATGGGAAAAGCAAAAAGTATCAAGTTGAGATTCAGTTTTGGATCAGTGTCTATAGGCCCTATACATGTTTAAGTAGGTGATCAGACTTTACTAAATGCTCTGTAGTAAAGCAATTATCTGGCCTGGAACTGGTAATCTAAAATTTCAATTAAGAGGTAACTTGAAACAAGTTGTGTGTTAAGAAAGCAGGATATTGAGACTCAGCAGTGAGAATTCTGCACCTATGAAAAACGGGAGTAGAGGCAGGGCCTGTTTCTTCCATTTGAGAGAGATTTTTTCAGTTTTGATATAAATTCTCTGGGTTGTTTTCTTTGTTTTTTTTTCTTAATGTTATTTTACGAACTGTAGAGTAAACTGATGCTTTTGGAAGTCATTTGCAGTAGGTTTTCCCCCTTCTATATATTCCAGCCTGACTGACTTTCCTGTAAGTATTTTTAGCTTGTATTGTTGTCCTGTATTGGTTGCTGGGCTCTCACAGGTGTTTTCCTGTAATTCGAGGTAGAGTCCTGCCTGTGCTTACCTGACTATGGTAGGAACTGTCTTCTTACAAATCTGAAGCCCTGCAGTGATGAGAGCCAATTATTCCATGACATGTTGACTTCCTGCTCAGGATCATGTTTACAGGCCAAAGTTCTGTAGTAATAATAGTAATAAGCAATGTCCCAGCTGTCATGCCAGCTTCATAGACTTTCTCTGGTGTCAGCTCTCTGGCTTACTGACAGTGTCTGGATTGGAAGTCTTTGCTACACATGCCCAGAGTAGCTCAGCTGCTTGCTTGCCTTGTGCCAACTGAGACTACTTTGGACTGTCCCTAACGAAAGCTGCGTGCAAGCAGAGGGATGGTTTTCATTCTGCCCTTTTACGTGCACTTTGAAGTTCAGTATGGTGTGAATGAGTCTTGCTTCCTGTGGCAGGGGTGAAAGGACAACTGAGTAAACTTGGCCCGAGGATTGATAAATAGTTCTGTTTCTCATAAGAAATAAGCCAAATCCCCCAACATCCTGCAACAGAATTTGGAATTTTCAGAAATTCTCCTTAGCTTGTAAATGCGTAGTTCCTTGGGATGCAGACTTCCTTGCTTAGCTGCATGCTGTTGAACAACACTATTTCATTTAAAGGTCCTGAAGAAGAATTTACCTTAAAGCTTAACTGAGATTGGCCTGCTATTTCCATCTCATTTGGGAGCTTTACATAATTCCTTTTGAGCAGCAACACATTCAAATCCAGGAGATGGTCTCATTGCTGCCACAAACTGTATAATTACTATGCTTATCAGTCCTCCATTATCTCTGTTTAACAGTGTTGTGAGGATAAAACTCTTGCAGTTCTTTTACTGAAATTACTGGAAGTTTCTCCACAACGCTTTCCCCATAATTACTGGTTTTGAGCTCATACACAAGAGCCCAGGCAAAGCTTTGCTTCTGAACTTCTAGTTTGGCTACTTAGGAACTCAGTTCATGGTTTCTCTTGAAAAGATAACTCTTCCGCTGCTGCTCTTTCTTGTGATTCAAGTTTGCTCCATGCTTTATCATTTTATTGGGCTTAGTATATATATGCTTCCTTCATAAACCATCACAATTAATGCAGTGCCACCTCGGATACAGAGCTTTTGATTGAAGGGCTGTGGAAGATTGGGTGCTGGTAGAGTTCTTCTTTCTTTCCTTTTTTTTTTTTTTGACCAGCAAAGTGCTTATGTACAGTTCAGCAGTGCCGTTGAAAACATTTTCTGTTATTCTACAAAATGTGGCTGGTGGAATGTAGCATCACCTTTCCTGAGAGCTTACTAGCAGCCTTAATTCTTCTTTGTGGACCTAAGGCCTGCTGTGCTGCAGAGCTCAGCAAACAGATCTCTGTGTGCACGTGTGTGTGTGGATGTGTGTGTATACACATGTGGGGCTCAAGCTGTAGGTGATATGAAAACTTTGTAATTTATATTTGTTTTTAAATTATCTCCTCGTTCTTCACGTGACGAAGAGGTGGTCTAATCAAGCCGTGTTGGTTCAAACTGCTGTGACCCATATCAGGGCACCAGTCACTTGCTGTCCTTGGATACAAAGCAACCTGGTCACTGCAGGCAGTGGGGATAAATTGTTCAAAGGACAGCGAGACGTGATTCAATCTCACCTTATAAACCTCCCTTTCCCCCTGCCCTCCCCCTCTCCTTCAGCTTGGCCATAAAAGAGTGCCCTGTGTAATAGGAGTTGGGAGAGGGGGAGGAACAGCAGCCTTACGATAGACCTAGCTTTGCCGAAACCTTGGATGATGTCCAGTGTGACCATGCAGAGGGATGAGCTCAGGGAAATGGTTGGAAGTTCAAAGGCCTTTTTGTGTTGCTCACTGTCAGTCGACAGATGTGCTCTCTTGGGCTGTCACTGGCTCGCTTTGCTCTTCCCACAGGCTTCCCTTCCTCGTGCTTCTTCCCTCTGCCTGGGAAAGCAGATTAGTTCCCGTCTTTCTGGGCGTTTTTCTGTCTCCAGCTCTATCCTAGGATTTGCCTTTGCACGTCTCTTTTAGGAAAGCCGCTGCTGATTTGTACAGATGTGGAGAGATGAAACTGGAATTGAGTGGGGAAGTGGAGGAGTGAGGTGTTACTGTGTTTACCATTGTGTTATTTAATTCTGCTCTGAGCAGTGGTGAAAACATGTTTGTGCAATTATTATTTTCTCATCAGGGAAATTGTGCCTAGGAAAGCCTTGCAGCTTTCCTAGGAAGTAATAAACACCCTTAGTTTTGCCACTGGTAGAAGTGGGGCCAGAACTATCCCACAGTCATGCAATAATAACAGTCAAATCTGGGGAGAAAACACCAATGTTCTTTTTCCAGTCTTCCAGCTGCTAATCCAGTTTGTCCAGAGAGGTCTTGCTCCCTCTCTGCCAAGAGAAAAAGTCCTTAATGTTTCATTTATGTGGCCATGTATTCTTCTTCTGACTGAGAGAGGAAGAACATGGAAGTGTGGCTTTTAAAATTAGTCAAAGCTGTGAAATATGCTTACCATACTGTATAGCTATTCTATCATGTCAGAGAAAAATACAGTGGAGGCTGTTTGAATGTCAAATACTATGTGTTTCCCAAGTGTGACATCTTAACTTTTGAATTTCCTCTTAACTTTGTATTTCCAAACATCTTGTCTGGATATATTTACAACAGCACAAAATGTTAGCTCTGATCTAATGCTATGCCCTCAGCTTTCACTTCATAGGAATAAAACTCAACTCCATCAAAGTAGGCAGAAATAAATGATCAGCATAAAGGCTGAATGATAGTAGTCCCCGAACAAAGAGCTGTACAGTGAAACTGAAGCCGACCTGTGTAGAACAAGCAGGAATGTTTCTTTGAAGACAGTTTGCTTTACAATGGGGAGAAGGGATTGTGGGCTGGGAGGGGCAGGGCTGGGAAAAGAGGTTAGGGAGAGGCTGCCCTTGCCTGAAAGCTGCTCCTGGAATCTCCTGCATTTTCCTTTGAAGCATCTGTTTCTGAACATGATTAGATTCAGGTTACGAATTTACATGGATCCCTGTCCTGATCCTGTTGGCGGTTCCTAAGCTTTATGAAACATCAGCCTTCGTTCATTAGGGTTGGTTTTAAGTTTTTTGTTTTTCTGTTTTTTGTCTTAAGTAGTTTTGGGATTTTTTTTTTCTTCCTCCTTTATAGGAGAGCTCCTGTAGAAGGGGATTTATCTCCCCCCTGGCGCTGTCTGGGCTGGCACACACTTGCTGTCTGCTGGGGTGGGAATTAGGTCCTCCTTTGTATGTGTTTTGCTCTCTTTCCCCTGCTCATGCACCCCCTCCTCTGTGCTTGAAGCTCGATTTTTATATTTAGGGGGAGTATGAAATTGGCTGAACTGCTCCCTGTAGGGGTGGAATTTCATTTTGTGTCGTTACCTCATGAAGGGATGCAGCAGTTCAATGGGATAATGGTATCAGCTCTGAACCAGTGCTAATGGCCTAACCCTCTGCGAGCCTGAAGAATTCTCCCCTGGAGAGTCAGCATGCAAATTCCCTTCCAGGCGGCTCCTGTGCAGTCCTTTGGTGATTAGTCACGCTGGGACTGCGGAGAGCAGGCAGAAAAGCATATGCTGGGGGGATGGTCTTAGTCCTGAAATGGCAGCTGAGGCCAGGGAAGGTTTGCTTCAGCGTGCAAAGTATGGGATCTGTCCTGGAAGAAGGGAGGGCTGATCTGTGGAACTGATCTTCTGAATCTTAAAACTTTGTCTTGATTTTGTCTGGAAGTAGAATTTAGGGATGTTTTCCCATTCTGTCCCCCATGAGGATGAAGGGGTTGCCTCTTCGCTTTAGTGCCCCAGCACGAAGACTAAGGAAGTGGGTCAGCCACTGGAAGACCAGGGTACTGCCAGAGATATGGGGTGATGATACAGATTTGTATGCTTCCCTTTCCTTCATGCCTCTCCAAGGCCTGAAACTGGCGTGGTGTTATCTGGACATACACCTACACAAGGCGTCCTTGAGGTAATAAACATTTTTGCAAGGACTCGTGTCAAGTTCTGTATTTTGCCATCCAACACAAGCTTCAGTGTCATCTGTGGTGACATCTGCAGTGATGTCTTGTCAGTTACAGGGATGCCTATGCCTGCCCTGTTACAGGAGTGACTGAAAAGATGATCCGCTTTTGTGGTTACAAAAAGAGGTGTCTGTTACAGCAAGTCTGAATTTAACTGCTCTGGTGTATTCTTAGGGTGAGAGGCTTTTAGGACAGACGCTTGGTATGAAATGTTGGAGGGCATGCTATAAAGAGCAGAGCTGTGAATGATTCTATGTAGTGTAATCCATACTGCTTTCACAGGACGTTGGCAGCAATCCTGTGGTGAATGGAAATGGAGGGTTAAGGAAGCTGGAAAAGCTGAAAACATGACTGTTTGTTCTCCTTATCCAATCCTCCTCTTTGTGTGTGTGATTGCCGTCTTCACTGTCTTCTTTAAACCCTCCCACCCCCCTTTGCACTCCCACATCCAGGATAGCATTGGCAGAGGAAGCAGAAGCATAGCAGGCGAGGGCTGGCCCTCCTGGTGACAGATGGAAGATGCTGTCGGCAGGCTGGGCTGGGATGAAAGGGTTTCAGGCACTGCCTCTGCTCCCCTTCACGTCACTGAGTTAACCTTGCTCTTTGGAGAACACACCTGTCAGGAACAGAGTCTTGTACAGCCCCTTCCCTACCACAGCTGGCAGCACTTAAAAGCATGAGCTTCCCTGGAGTTGAGTGTTCCTCTCATCTGTGGGGGAAGGACAGGGCTGATGCTGCTTCCTCTTGAATTTCATCTTTGTGGCTCCAGGCTTCATTAAATGCTGTGGATCTGTGGTTCCACTCCATTGCCGCCATAGTCCTGTGTAGGAAAGTGTCCCACACTCCCTCTTCCTTGGTCCCTTCTGGAGATGTCTAGCAGGATTTGAATTCTATTGCCCATACAGAGATACACTGAATTTGTCCTCAGCGGTGGATTCCTGCTTCTCCTTGCAGGTTTTTTAGACTAAATTGCTGGCAGAACCTCCAAGCTGAAACATGTGTTTTATGTGTTTTTCATGCACCTTGCAAAACCTTGTTCCCAAAACCACTGCTTCTTATGGTTCTTACCCTAAAGAATTAACTGTGTTAATAAAACTGTGTGGACTGCATTGTGAAGCATACAGAAAAACGTTGATACTGTAATTTTCCTTGTTATAAAAATGTGCCATAAGAGGATGATAGCAGGCTTAGGGATGAAAGAGGAAAAATAAACTCAGTGGGGAGTAAAGACAACTCCTCTGTTGTGGAAAGGTCAGTGCTTCTCTGGGGAGGAAAGACCGGCGAGCTGCAAACTTACCCTGGCCCACCATCTGAGGCACAGCTCTTCCTCATGACTCAAAAATTCATGTCTTTTGTTTATAAAAGATGTAGCCTTCCTCCACTAGGATGAAGGAACTTTCAGGAAGGAAGTTGACTGCAGCTTCATACTGAAGTGTTTTTCTGCTGTTGCAGTGCTGCCCACTTGCTCCCCCTTGGACTTCCACTGTGACAATGGGAAGTGCATCCGCCGGTCGTGGGTCTGCGATGGAGACAACGACTGTGAGGATGATTCTGATGAACAGGACTGCCGTAAGTCACCTCTCTAAGGGGAGAGGGTGGGTGCAGTGCCTACCTGCCATGGCTGGGGAAAGCTAGCCCTTTTTATTGTGGAATTCTAAGAGTTTATCCGCTGAGGCAAACCCTTGGCTTGCAATAAGCTACATCCTTCCTCTGACAGAGAGGTGTTTCTGATGTCAGTAAGCCCTCCTGTGTTGGCACTTGGCTCACTGTTCAGAGGTGTGTCCTGGGGGAGGGGATGCTTCTCTGTCCAGCTGCAGAACAGTTTATGCACCACAGCCTTGCTAGTTAATGTCGCATGAAGTAGTTCCCTGAGCTCAGTGCTTCGTGTCCTCCCCTCTTCATGGAAATGCCTAACCTCTGCCAAATACCAACTGAACTGCTTGTCTGGCTAACTTCCTGTGGCCTCAGGTTCCACTGTCTGACTTTTCTGCTGTGCATGCTTTTCTGCTGTCTTTGTCCCCAGCGTCTTCTCCCTTCAAACTGAGTTCCCTGAGGAGAGAGAAAGGTGCTGTAGGGATGCTGCCTGCATGGACAGCAGTTACCCTGAAAGCTGGCTTGTCTGCTGCCTACAAGGTGCAATCTTCAGAAGAGCTGCCATGGCATACTGCTAGCCGTGAGCACTGCTGTTGTGTTTCTACAGCTTATTAAAACAGGGAATTTTGCCTGAGCCCTTGGACCTTAGCCCTCTCCTTTTGCACTTTTATGTTTTGTTATTTGTGGTTGGCTTCTTTTGGCAAAAGGTGTTCAGGGATGCAGCTTTCCTTCACCAAAACAGATCATCCAGTCTGTACTTGGCAGCATGTGCTGGGGAAGTAACGTGTTGCATAGCACTCGATCTTCAGCTTCTTTGAAACTGCATTGGTTGCTGGAGCTGACATCAGGCTGCAGCTAGGAGCAGTATTTTGTGCTGTCTGGTTGATTGCAGCTGCTTGATAAGCATCACCCGGCAGCTCTTGAATTCTACAACAGTTGTGTGTGTGGTACTCCAGAGTGACTCAATCATATCTCAAGAAAAGCATATCAGTATTTTATCAGTTTTTAATCAGTATGCCCCTGTTCTTTGGTATCTGGGTAGAGGAATGCAGAGCAGAGTTCAGGGTTTTAACATCTATTCTGTGTGATGTTCTGAATGGCAGGACTAAGCTTAGTTTCCTGGTCCATTTTTGGTGAAAGAAAAGATATGTGGTTCTGGATCCTTTTGGGCTTCTATTTTTTCATAAAAAGTTGGAATGCCCGTATATTTAAGGCAACAGTAGAGAAGGGTGTGATCAGAAGATCTGGAGACTAATGAAAGGAGTTGGTTCTGTGAATAAGAGAGTCCTAGGGAGTTGTCCAGACTAGCACTTAACCATAGGAAGATTTATGATGGATTAAAGTCCTCAGGTACTAATTCTGCAGTCCCTTTTTCTTTCCCCACTGGCCTGCAGACAACCTTTTGTAGAAGATTGGCAGACAGAGTAGAGTGAGGCTGCAAATGCTGGAGAGTTTAGAAGAAGTTTAAATTTTCTCTTTCACGTTTCAGTGAATTTTCTCTTTCACCTTTCCTGTGAAGATAACTTTGACATTGTGGGGAAAAAAAGGCGGAGCTGCAATTCTGCCATGAAATGTTTGCCAGATAATGATAGTCACAGAATATCAGAAATGCAGGAATTGGAAGGGACCTCAAGAGATCACTGAGTCCAGGCCCCTTGCTAAAGCAGGTACCCTACAATAGGTTGCAGAGGTAGGCATCCAGATGAGTCTTGAATCTCCATAGGAGACTCCACAGCCTCTCTGTCAACCTATTCCAGTGCTCCATCACCTTTCTAATTAGTACGGAACTTCCTATGTTCAAGTTTCAGGCCATTGTTCCTTGTCCTATCACTACACACCACCAAGAAGAGCCTGGCCTCATCCATCTGCCTCCCATCTCCCTTTAGATATTTATAAACATTTATGAGATTCCTTCTTGGTCGTCTTTTCCCCAGGCTGAGCAGACCCAGGTCACCCAGCCTTTCCTCATGTGGGAGATATTCCAGTCCTTTCATCATCTTTGTGGCCCTCTGCTGGTCTCCTATTAGATCCCTGTCTTTTGTGAATTGGACAGTCCAGAACTGGCATATTATTCCAAATGTGGCCTCACCAAGAGTAGAGAGGGATCACCTCCTTCGACCTGCTGACCACATTCTTTTTAATGCACCCCAGGATATCATTGGCCTTCTTGGCCACCACAGCACACTGCTGGCTCATGGCCAACCTGCTGTCCAACAGGACCCCCAGGTCGATCTCCACAGAGCTCATCTCCAAGAGGACATCCCCTAATCTGTACTGATGCATACAATTATTCCTTTTCAGTTGCAAGACTCTACACTTGCTATTGTTAAATCTTATTAATTTTTAAATTTTTAAGGAGGCATGCATTGCCAAAAAGGATCACTTGAACTTGACTTGGAACTGTGCAAAAATACCAGCACATGGTGGATGGCTCAGTTACTCTGCTCCATGTCCTTCCTCCAGCCCTTGTTGTCAGGTTTTAGAGCTTGCTGTACCGTCAACATGCAGTTGGAGTGGGAGAGAGACACTCAGTGGCCATCCTGATGTTGATAGGGAAAAGGGAAAAAAGCCTCTCCAACATGGCAGTGTCCTTGCGGGAGGATGTTGCTCAATTTACGATATGCTATGCGTTTGTTTTTCTACTAGATAAATCTTTGTGCCTTACCTTCACCTTATTCTACATTGTGTTCTGGCAGCACCACGAGAATGTGAGGAGGATGAGTTCTCGTGTCAGAATGGGTACTGCATCCGCAGCCTGTGGCACTGTGATGGTGACAATGACTGTGGAGACAACAGTGATGAGCAGTGTGGTGAGTAGTGGTGCTGCCAATATATTGAATGCCCTGCTGATGCTTAAAAAGGCATTGCACAGACTCCCACCTGTGCAGTTCTAAGATCCCCTTAGTATGTCAAGAGCTTGCAGCTGGCTCATCAGAGCAAAGTTTGTGTGATATTTTTTTCCCTGGCTTTTTTTCCCTGGCTGCTTGGGATCTCAGGCTGTGGCTTATTTGCCAGGCAAAAATCATTTGTGACTTGTTTTTCCTTGACTTGCCATTTTGAAATCCCATGGATTCCTTTTGAATTCACTACTCTGTGTCTATCAAATGAGCACTGGTGGTTTTGTCCAGGCACTGCATGACCTGAAAATGTGTGATTTAATAAGCAGTCATGTTTGCTAATGCCCTAGGAGCCTCAGGACTATGGTGTGGTTTTTCCTGAGCACTCTAAGAAAAGTCAAAGATTTTTCTTTTGTATTGCTTTCTCTGCAGATATGAGGAAATGCTCAGAGAAGGAGTTTCGTTGCAGTGATGGCAGCTGCATAGCTGAGCACTGGTTCTGTGATGGTGACACAGACTGCAAAGATGGTTCGGATGAAGAGAATTGCCGTAAGTGCTCTTCTTGCTTTGTAACCATAGGAAATAGCCCTTTGGACCTGCTCTTGTCTTGAGACTTGACACATTTCCTGCAGCAGAGATCAGAAACAAATCAATTCTGCCTGTATCAGCAGCTATGCTGCCTTCTCTTGTCTACCCCAGAGGGCACGAGAGGATGGTTTGTCTCTCGTGTTACCTCACAGAAATACTTAATCTGTTTCTGGCTACTTCTCTGTTGCTTCCCATGGCTGTGTGACCTTGAGTCAGAGCAGGGGGCTTATGATGTAGTGAATATAGCGGTATATAAAACTACAGGAGATAAAGGGCAAGGGGAAAAGGGAGGAAACAATTGACTTCTTTATCCTCTTGTCTGAATCCTGTCCAGAATTTCTCAGGGGACTCTGCCCACTGATAATATCTTCAAGGACTGCATGCTGCTAACTGGCATGCTGCAAGGGCTCTCTGCACAACCACCTTCTCACCATTCAGGTGCTTTATGCAGGACATAGTCTGATAAGGGATGGTAAACGAGCTAGCTAGAAACTGATTTGGCTGATGGGAATGGAGATAGATGGGGGTGTGAGAGCCAACAACAGTTGTCTTTTTTTTTTTTTTGTTTTCCACCATCATAGCCTTGTAAATGGGACAAGAGTCTATTATGTCCCTTCCTAGCCCCCACTCCCTCTTTGCTGTGTCTCTGAGTGCAGTTAATGTCTGTGAAAGTTTCAGTGGTCCCTTCCCCCACCGTGTTCTCAAAGGCATTTTGCAGGATTTGTTCTAGATAGCAGGAAACTTCAAAAAGCTCTGGGAGGAGGGATCAGGGCTGCCAGCTCCTGAAGGGCAGGGGGAGTGGGTGCAAGAGGGAGTTGTCTTTTATCTCTCTAGATAATGAGAGTTGGCAGCAAACCAGGGGTTGCAAACGTTTCTAAGCTGGGAAAGAGCTCTAAGAGGAAGGCAGCTTCTCTTCCTCTCCTTTCCCCTCTCTTTTCTTTTTCCTTTGCCTATTGCTTCCCCACAGGCCACGAATATGCCCTGGGGGAATGAGGGGCGACATTGTTTCAACCTTGCCTGCTATGGAGGTTTACAGGCAACCTGAGTTGGTGCCCCTGCTCCTCTGAGCTGGAATGCTTCTCAAATTGTAAATGACAGTTTATTCTGTAAGGCATTTTAGGTATGGAACTTCACTAAGAAGCTTTGTTTGGCTACCTCCTTTTATCTTATCTTCCTCAGTGTGGCTGTCATCTTTTTCTTATATCCAGTGCTGCTCATTGTTCATCTAAAACAATGTAGGACAAAGCTGTTCTTTTTTATTTTTCCTTATTTATTTATTTGTTTGTTTGTTTGTTTTTCTAGAGAGCACTGCGGAGTAGGAGAGTCATATAATTTAATCAGAGTACATGACAATTTATGTCACTGGCTTCACTTTCTCCTCAGAGAAGCCCAAACACTTCTTTCAGATTTCCTTGGTAAGGAGCAGGTTAACACACATTTCAGTACCCAGCCACTGGATACTGGCTGAACTGGAGCTCTTACTGCATGCCTATGGGCATAGTTCCTGTCCCAGATTGCCAGTCTTTGTTTTCCCTTTTGTTTAATAGATCTGTTTTTGGAGCTCCTCAGTTGAAAAGGTCATGTGTCTGAAACATAGTGTTCGTTCTCTGGACAGTAGGAGAAGAGACAGATTCAGTTGTGTGAGACTCATATTTTTCATCACTTCCCGCACTGTATGCTGCTGAACAGAGAACAGTGGGAAAATCCTTGACTAGGTTTGTTGGGCTCTGCCTGGGGTATGCTGGTGCTCCTTACTGATAAAACATAATTTGTTTGAGTGATGGCTTGAGAGTGAAGGGATTGAAGAAACTTCAAAGGTCAGGTGCAGAAGTGGGCACTCTGCTGTTTGCTGCTTCCTTTGGTCTTCAGGTGCACATTTTTGTTACAATTTTGAAGGAATTGTGCCGTACTTTAACCTTTCATTCTGATGTGCCTCTATATTAAGAACTACTCAATATGATAGTTTTGTTTTTATTTCTGTTTCTGTATCTGATTTTTGGAAATTTAATAACAATTAAAATTCTTTGCAGAGAGCACTAGAACAGTACCTTGAGCACAAGAGAGAAGGTGACATTCATGGATCTTCATCCCTTTCTTCCTTTTTTTTCTTTATTTTTTTTTTTATTTTTTAAAAGGGTGTTGACTGCACAGTTGCCTTTGTGTATAGCTTTAACCACTCCTCAGTGAAGCACAAACAGCACTGATGGTCCTCTGAGTAATACAAGTCATGCAGAGATAGGCAGCAAGGACTAGCAATTTCCAACACTTTTCCACTGAATACTTGCTAGTCTGTTACTAGGTAGAGAAAAGTTGCATCTAAACTGGATTGTGTCCTGTTACCTTAGGCATATTTTGTTTGATTCCTTTGTTAGCATCAGATGTTCCAGCTGCCACCTGCAGCTTGGAGGAATTCCAGTGTGCATATGGACGCTGCATCTTGGACATCTACCACTGTGATGGCGACGATGACTGTGGGGACTGGTCTGATGAATCTGACTGCTGTAAGTTAGTGCAGAGTGATGCATGGGTCCAAACATTTGACTTGCAAACCTAAATGGATTTTGAGTTGGCTGGAAAAACAGCCATCTAATTGATCACACATAAGCTGTCTCTTTCAGTATTTTAAATTCAGGAAACTGAGGGTAGTGACAGGAATCACTGCATAGTCAGCACATTTCTGCACACAAGAATTAAAGCAGTTTCCAGAAGGACTCTAGTCAGGACTGGGTTCCGCAATAGTAGAGGAAAAGCGTGGCATTGGGAGATTTCTTGGATTTCCATTGGCCTGAATTCACTCTATGTTTTTTAATATCTCTGCAGCATCTCACCAGCCATGTCGCTCTGGGGAGTTCATGTGCAACAGTGGCTTGTGCATTAATGCCGGCTGGCGGTGCGATGGAGACTCTGACTGCGACGACCAGTCTGATGAGAGGAACTGCAGTGAGTGTCGGGGTCTAATGGGAGTGTTCCATTTCTGCTGAATGCATGAGTGTGCGGGGGAATGTTATTGAAAGTAGGCTCTTCTGATCATTCTTGCTCATCTGACTTTTTTTTTTTTTTTTTTTTTTTTACCTCTCAGCTACATCTATGTGTACAGCTGACCAGTTCCGCTGTAAATCAGGGCGCTGCGTCCGTTTGTCCTGGCGCTGTGATGGGGAAGATGACTGCTCCGACAACAGTGATGAGGAGAATTGTGAAAATACAGGTTTGGTCTGCTGCCTTGCTTCTTGTAGCTAATATTTCCATCCTGGAAGCAATGGATTGCAAAGTCTCTTTTGGATGGCTTGACAGAGTTCAGCCTCAACTTTCAGTGCTTCTCAAAGTGTGAGATATGTAGGCTATTTTCTATGCTCGCAAACACCTGCAGTTCTAGTGATTAGACTAACTAAAGTGGTTGTGTTTTCACATCAGATCCCTGCATCTTTCTATCCCGTCCATGCTATGATTTACCACAAAGCTTTGAGGCTGTTCCATTCAGACTTGTAAATACTAATAATTTTCAAAGTTGCTGCATTTGTTAAATAGGCATGAGTCTAGCTCATGCTTTGTAGGTAATTCTAGGTAGCTTTTGTGTTGCCATATGAAGCTGCCAAGCAATTGTTAACAGGCAGTAGATCAAAAGAAGACGTGTTGTGAAAGTTAAGAAGAAAGCCTTTGTGTTAGAGGCTAAGGATGCCAACCCCTGCTGTCTCCTCTACCTTTGTTTGGGAATCTCTCTTGTTCTTTGTCGTAATCATTTCCCTTATAGATATTCTTTTATATAATTATGGATATGGAAGAGGATTTCATCAGACCCTCATATTACTGTAGGATTCAGGGAATATCTAGAATCTTCAATTTTTCTTCAATCCTCCAGGTTGTCTGTAGCCCTTGTTGAGGAGTAATGAGTACTGGTCAGTGCATTTGTCATAGTGAGCAGAGTCCAGAAGTGTATTTTAAAAAGTGGGTTTACAGGTGATAAAAGGGATAGTTTAGAACTGTTACCATGGGCCTGTCGAGGAGTGGACAGTGTGTATTGTACAGGAAGAACTGAGGCTGAGCTCAGAGGTCCTGGAGCTACTGCTCTAGATGGGTCAGCTGTCATGAGCACCAGCATGCAGAAGATGGTAATAATAATCCTGGAAAAAGCAATTGTACTTGAAGAAAAAGCAGTAACTATGTTTCCTTGTCTTAATAACCAAAGTGTTTAAAACGAACACTGAACTGTTGCCACCCTGAAGCCAAATCAAAATTCCAGAGCCACTGAAATTCAACCTCTCCACTTTCAAACAAACCCCAGCATGGTTGAGTACACCTATCGCTACCATAAAATTAATGGTGCAGTTCTGCATTGGGTCTACAGTGATAGCAACAAAGAGTTAACCTGGAGGTTCTGTTCACAGCAGGACATGTACTGGCCGATCTGATGAGATATAGCCTTAACGTCTGTAGCAAGAGTTAGAAACCTGTGACACTTAGAATTACGTTTTTGTTGGCTGTAGAAAGAAAGTTCCAAGAATGCTGGGAGATCAACTTAAGTAAGAATCTCTATCTTCATTATGATAAATGTGGTCCAAGTTTCAGAAACCTTTATTAAAAGTGTTCCTGTGCCCTGGAAAGTGAGTCTGCATGTGTCTGTGTTCGCAGTTGGTGTGCCCGTTAGTTCTTATTTCTCTTTGACAATCTCACACCTACCCTTTTCCATTCTGCTTACAGGCAGCCTGCCAAGTTATTTTTTTCTTTGCTGGTAACTGTGCTGTCTTGTTGTATTCCCAGGATTATCACAGTGCGATGATTTGGAAACCACTAACAAAGTCAGCTTGCGAGGTACAAGAAATAAGAGGCAATAGGACAGTGCAGTTATCGCTGAAGAAACAATTAGATTGGCAGAGTCCCTGCAAATAGCATTACTTTACTTACAGGAATTCTGTAGTGTCCCTGCCAACAGCAGAAGTTGAAGTGTGTAGCTCATGTGTGAAATCCTGTTGCCTGAGCTCACATTTCAAGGATGCATGTAAATCTCATTCCAAGTCCGTCACAGTGCAGTTAGTGCTGGACAAGACACACATTCCTCAGCAGGCTTAAGATCTATAGCCTTGCTGGTTTAGCATCTCAGATGATTAAACTTGCTCCTTTCTGACACATGCTCAGGAAAGTTGTGGAATCTGGAACCAAATAGAATTAAGCTAAGACCCTGAAGTCATTCTGAGGGAAACTAAATAGCTGGATTTCCAGTAAGGCAGCACTGGAGTCAGTCTGAAGGAGAGCTGAGCAAGCCTCTGAGTCAATGTAAAGAAATTTGGAGCAGTAAGAAGTGGAAGATGAATTGAATTCAAGGAAAGAGGAAGTGATGGATTTCTGTTCATATATAAAGATTGTAACCAGAAACGTTCTTTATCCATTACTTCCCCATGACTGTTGTTCCATCAGTAAGCTCAGGTGTGCTTATATTCCTCTTCCTCTATTGCAGGGACCCCTCAGTGTGCTCCAGACCAGTTCCTGTGTGGGAATGGGCGTTGCATTGGGCAACGGAAGCTCTGCAATGGAGCAAATGATTGTGGAGATGGCAGTGATGAGAGCCCGCATCAAAACTGCCGTAAGTTCTGCAAGTCAGGTCTTAAATATAAATGGAGGCACTGTGTGTGGGAGTCAATTTAGTGTTGCTGAAGGATGTGTGTAAAGAAGAAAGCTTGGGCTGTGTTAATGGAAGGGAGTGTGGGTTGAAGACTGAGGACGCTGACCTTTGTGGTTTTCCAATTGCATACTGCGGAGAAGGAATAATGGGGAGAAGATTATACTCTCAGGTATCAAAGTCTGTCTGCACAGATAGTGAATCCCCAACCACATTGTTCTGAGTGTCATTGTCCAGATCTTGGGAGTAGCTGCTCCCTGTTGGTTGTGGCCTGCAGGGGACATTTCTGAGTGTAAAGAAGCAGCTTCCCGCACAACCTGTTTCCTCCCTGTCTTGCTTAGCCTGTTCTGGAGGGTGATGGCTGCTTAACAGCTGAGAACACAAGCAGCTGCTTTGTGGTTTCAGCTCAGTTGTCTTCATCTATTGCTTTCACAGGTCCACGAACAGGGGAGGAGAACTGCAATGTCAACAATGGTGGCTGTGCTCAGAAGTGCCAGATGGTACGAGGGATGGTGCAGTGCACCTGCCATACAGGTTACAGGCTTCTGGAAGATGGCCGGTCATGCCAAGGTGAGTTTTTGGAGCAGTAGCCTCTTCCCTGCTGCTTTGATGTGTTTGGAGTTGATGGCTATGATGGGGTGCAAATTGGAGCATGAAGGCAGAAGCAAGCTTGTGGTGAGATTGTTAGGCTTGTTAATATCATAATAATTTTATCCCTTTATCTCTAACATGCAGATGTGAATGAATGTGCTGAGGAAGGTTACTGCAGCCAAGGCTGTACCAACAGTGAAGGTGGCTTCCAGTGCTGGTGTGAGCAAGGCTATGAGCTGCGCCCTGACAAGCGTAGCTGCAAAGCTCTAGGTAAACAGAAATTCAGTCTTACTTTAGTGCATGTTTGTTGGTCCAATTCTTTTAACTTTGCCTTTAATGCTTCACTGCCAACATTAGGCTGCTCACACACAAGGAAGTACCTGGATTTATATTAGGTATGCCTAGGTTGTTGGTGAAAACCTGTGAAAATTTTATGACTTTGACTGTGAGGTGGTGTTTCACTGTTTCCTTTCCTTGCCAACAGGACAGCCTCTGCTTTCTTTTCTTATTCCTCGTCATTCCAGGTGGCCTACACCCTGAGACAGAAACAGCATCCTGTTTCTGTTCAGGAAGTGTCTCAGTCCTTCCTTGCCAGTGAAGTTGTATCACACCTCTTTGCTCTGGTTTGACCTTAGATGCTGGTCACCAGTCCTCAGTGGCTACTGTAAGGACATCTGTTTTCTAAGGGCACCTGTACATTTGTTTAACTTGATTCCTCAACTCCCATGATGTAGAAGCTGATGAATTAGGAATTCAATTTCAGGAAATAAGAACGTAATTAGGAATTACCCTAATGATATCCATAAAGAATCATAGAATGGCTTAGAATGGAAGAGACCTTAAAGATCATCAAGCTCCAACTCCCCTGCTGTGCTCAGGGTTGCCAGTCAGTAGGTCAGGCTGCCCCAGAGCCCCATCCAACCTCACCTTGAACACCTCCAAAGATGGGGCATCCACAGTTTCTCTGGGCAACCTGTTCCAGTGCCTCATCACTTCAAAATAAAGATTTTTTTCTGATGTCTAACCTAAATTTCCCCTCTTTTAGTTTAAAGCCATTTCCCCTTGTGCTATAACTAACAGACAATGTAAAAAGTCACTCTGCTTCCTGCTTACAAGCTCCTTTCGAGTACTGGAAGGCTGCAATGAGTTCTGCTCAGAGCCTTCTCCAAGCTAAACAAACTCAACTCTCTCAAACTTTCTTCATAAAGAACTTCAATTATTTTTTTTTCAGTACAAGTATCTACTGACTTACTTTATATCTGGCTGAGGCATACTTTAACTGTGTCCTGTTTTGCTGTGGTTGGAGGTTGCGGTAGAAGATGTGGTATAGCTTGTGTGTTTGCATGGCTGGAAGGTGGATAGAGACAAAGGAGACTATAACCTTGCTGCCAAGCATGTGCCTAATGGTGTGGCTTCAGGTGAGATGAGCTCAAATGGGACCTGGACTGATCACATCTTGCTGAGTGAACATTTGCCAAAAGTTTTAAAACTGCTCATTTTCAAAGTAGAAATATGTGGTGGGGTTAGGAAAGGAGCTGTCTGAGCTGTTTTGTAATTGGGTGTTGGTTTCTTACTACCAGTGCTGCAAGACTGTGTTCTGAGACTTGTAGTAAAGGGAATAGTAGGCAGGACCCTATCAAAGTTCTCTAATGCTGTCTTCTCATATATCCTCAGGGCCGGAGCCAGTGCTGCTCTTTGCCAATCGAATTGATATCCGGCAAGTGTTGCCTCATCGCTCAGAGTATACACTGCTCCTGAACAACTTGGAAAATGCCATTGCCCTTGACTTCCACCACAGCAAGGAGCTGGTATTTTGGTCTGATGTCACCCTGGATCGCATAATGAGGGCTAATCTGAACGGTAGCAATGTGGAAGAAGTGGTTTCTACAGGTCTGGAGAGCCCAGGTGCGTCGCCATAAAAAAGGCAAAAGCTTGTTCCCTGTCTATGGTGTGAGAATAGGGATGGGTGAGTGGAGATAAGTAGGTACCATGTGTTCAAAAAAGAATACATCTCCTTAAGCACTGGAATGGGCTGGATGGAATGGGTGTGAGATAATTGTCCCCCTGGAATTTATGTCTGCTGACAGAGGATAAGATAGGAGGACGGAATTGGGCCTTTCTTGAGGCTAAGAAGGAAAGGAAACTATTTTTCTGAGCAGAGCCTGCTCCTTATTTCATTCTGTGCTTCATTCTCCTCTGGAGATAGGTGGACTTGCTATTGACTGGATACATGACAAATTATACTGGACAGACTCTGGAACATCTCGAATTGAAGTAGCAAACTTGGATGGTACTCACAGGAAGGTGCTTTTGTGGCAGAACCTGGAGAAACCCCGGGCGATTGCCCTCCATCCTATGGAGGGGTGAGTGAAAACTTGAGTTCTCAGTGAGCCTTCCATGCAAGGGTTGGGTGAACAGTGGTCACTGAGGATGCCCCTGGGTGCAAACTCCTTGCTTGGTACCTGCAGTTTGGGAAGCCTTGCAAGGGTTCTGAGGGCTTTCAGAGCTTTAGTCCTACTCTGGACTCTTCAGGTTTCAACAGCCTGAAAGTGCTGGGTGTTAGCTTTCTAGCTGTTGCTTCTCCCATGGCTGAAACCCAGTCTCATGCATGAGGTGACAGGATCAACATTGTTTTGTCCTGATAGGAAGTGTTGTAGTGTGCATTAGGTGGGACATTAGTATTCTAATCTGTGTCTCCCTGCCCCCTCCAGCACAATCTATTGGACTGACTGGGGCAACACTCCCCGCATTGAGTATTCCAACATGGATGGCTCTAATCGGCGCATCATTGCGGATACACACCTATTCTGGCCCAACGGACTGACCATTGACTATGCAGGGCATCGGATGTACTGGGTGGATGCCAAACACCATGTCATCGAGAGGGCTGACCTTGATGGACAGAATAGGAAAGCTGTTATTAGCCAAGGTAAGTAATGGAGCTAGGTACTGGAAATGTTCTCTGCAGCAAAGAAGGCATGGTGCTTAGCTGAGTTTCAGAGCCACCTGCTTGTAGATGATTTGTTGTTCTATGGTTATTTATTTTTTAATTGCTGTGGGATGAATTCTGTCACTAATAAGGCATGGGCTTTGCTACCCCAGACATCAGCGGACAGGAAAGAGGAAGTGTCTTGTCACCTTAGTGTATAATGGATTTGAGCAGATTGACTGTGGCAGTGCCTAAGGGTACTGGTAAGAGTATCCTTGCCTCTCTGCTAGCACAAGTCCTGTTGAACATAATGGAAGCCCTGTATTGGATGTCTGTTGCAGGCCTTCCACACCCATTTGCTATCACCGTGTTTGAGGACAGTTTGTACTGGACGGACTGGCACACCAAGAGCATTAACAGTGCCAACAAATTCACAGGCAAGAACCAGGAAATCATCCGAAACAAACTCCACTTCCCTATGGACATTCACACACTGCATCCTCAGCGTCAGCCAGCAGGTAACTGCAGAGAGAGTAGAGACCAATTCGAGCCGCTTGTAGAACTGTTGCTGCCACCCACCCTTTAAAGCAGGGAGATGTCAAGCATGAACCGAGGGTATTGATGCATCCCCCACTTCTGTCCAGAGCTGCCGCGGCATTTGCTCCATCCAGCAGCTCGGTTTAGGTGCCTCAGCGGCGGTAACCCTGTGCTGTGTGTTACCGCAGCTCCCCCTGCTGACACTCTGAGATGAATGCTTTTCAGTGAGAAATAGCTCTTGACTGTTTGGGAAAGATAGGAGGAACATAAGTGAGCGCTAGCAATGACTGACACTTCCCATAATCCGTTTAAATTACTGTAATCTGTTTGGGAAGTACACTTATTAAATGTTTTTCTACTATACTGACCCCTAGAAATGGAGTTAGTGCTTTAATTTGACTCCTTATTCTCAATTAGTGTCTGCGTAGACAAGCTGTCTCATTCACACGGGGCTTTGCACCTTGCCTGGTGTTTTTCCCCTTTTCTTGCTCTTTGCCTTATGCGTGGTTATTTTTGTCTTTGGCTACTTGAGCAGGGAGAAACCGCTGTGGGGCCAACAACGGGGGCTGTACACACCTGTGCCTGCCGAGCAGCAAGGATTATACCTGCGCCTGCCCCACTGGCTTCCGCAAGACCAGCAGCCATGCCTGCGCTCAGAGTAAGTGAGGTGGGACCACAGCCTGCGTGTCCAGATGTTTTGTGGGTGGCAGAGGGTTGGTTGTGGGAATATGCAGCGGTTTCTTTCAAGAAGATACAGCTAGATGTGCTGGATAAGATTAAGGGCCAGGCTGAAGAATGCCTCACCTTTTTGAGGCATTTCTTTGTTCTGCGTTCCCATTCCTAGGCTGGATGGGTGGGGATGCAGAGAAGCTCTGTCCATAGGTACTTACATCAGGGCTGCTACTGATGCCACACTGCCTGCCACAGCTTTTCCTAAAGCTTTCATAGGAGCTGTGTCAGTGGTGACCAAGATATTCAACCTTGTGGACTCCCAGAGTTTCTCTTAATTTGCAGCCATGTGGGAGAATTAGGCCAACTGTTGTCCTAGATTCTCAAGAGATGGCAAAGCTGTTTAATTTGGAAATAACACCTATGCCATTTTTTGAAGAATATGGTTGAATTTGTTCCCTTAGCAAAGATTACCCCAGGATGCAGTTCTTTACTCCTACGCTCCCTGCTGATCCCAATCCCTTATAAGATGATAATTTTTGCTACCAATAAAATCTTGGGCTGTGACCTGTCAGCGAGAGATGATGTAAAGGATTAGGTTTGGATATAGCAGGGAATTGTCTGTGTCTATCACTGTGTTGTTGAACTTAGAGAAATTAAAAGGAGACCTTTCGACCTTTGATCAGGTCTTGACAAGTTCCTGCTTTTTGCCCGAAGGATGGACATCCGTCGGATCAGCTTTGACACAGATGACCTGTCAGATGATGTCATCCCCCTTGCTGATGTGCGCAGCGCAGTGGCTCTGGACTGGGACTCAAAGGATGACTATGTCTACTGGACAGATGTTAGCACCGACTCAATCAGCCGAGCAAAATGGGATGGATCAGGCCAGGAGGTACAGTGTTAACTATGTGTGGAGACCATCTAGCCAGGAGACTCCTTGTGCATCAGATTTGAAGCCACTAGGAAACACTGGCTTCCTAAGGAACTGTAGTTCACGTTGGATTTATTGTTCATTGATTTGCCTAGTTTTGGCAATAGTGGGCTCTAACATCAGTGAACACTTAAAACACAAGTTTGGTGTAGGTTCCTGTTTATCTAAACTCTAAAGTGGGAAAAAGCATGTTGATTTACAAGCTGTGGTTGATTCCTCTGTTGTAGCCCTAGAATCTGAGAGGAAGATGTGTTGCATTTCCTGTTATGTACAATATTGTAACAAGAGCTGCATGCCCTTATGCTATTGTTACCATTAATGAGGCAAACAGAATTCAAGAGTTGGATTTGTGTTTTGAACAGAAATGAAAAACATGTGTAACTTCAAGCATAAGGCTTATTTGAACTAGTAAGTCCTTAATGCTCTCTCTCATATCTTACTGTTTTGCTTGAACTTCTGTCTTTTGAAGTCATGTTTGTGAATGAATAGCGCACTGGGTTAGTGCCCTTTCACTAGGGTCTGATCTCACTAAGGATTTTCTTGTTTTTGTTTTTTTTATTTAGGTTGTGGTGGATACCAGCCTGGAAAGTCCAGCTGGACTGGCAATTGACTGGGTCACCAACAAACTGTACTGGACTGATGCAGGTACTGGGCTCTTCTGCTTTACTGGAGTTTCAGTCTTCATTATGAGTAGTGAAAACTGAGTAACAGCTGAATGGTTCTCTGTCTCATCACAAATTTGCCTATTTCTGTCTAGCAAAAAAAGCCCACATGAGATCAAAGTCCCTTAAACAAAGGGGAGGTTGAAGTTGGAACCATTAGTTAACCTCTCTTCATAGTGGTCCTGGTAGCTCTTCCTTTAGAAGAGCTTATAGCAGAAGTTAAGTTCCATTGCTCTCTTGCCACAGAGCTTGTATCTGTGTGTGTACACATCATATCTTCCAACACAACATCTTGGGGTGCAGCAGGTAGGATTTGAAGTTAGTTCCCTGTCAGAGTATGAGTTCAAAGAGATGTAAGAAAGGTGACTCTTCTCCAGGTCTTGTCTTATGTCTGTACTGCATAGATACTTCGATAGCTTAGGAAAGTGCTGGCTTGCACTGACACAGAACTTGTCACCAGTCACAGTCACACAGGTGACAGAGGTGATACTTTGATGACACTTTTTATTTATCTTCCAGTCAGGAAAAGAAATGGGGGATGGAAGAGAAAGCATTGCTGTAAGGATAGTGTTTACCTTGTCTGTTGTTGTTTCAGAGGTGTGTGTCTAATTCTTTCTCTCAATCTTTGTAGGAACAGATCGAATAGAGGTCTCCAACACAGATGGAACCATGAGGACTGTTCTGATCTGGGAGAACCTAGACAGACCTAGAGATATCGTAGTGGACCCTGTTGGAGGGTGAGAGATTCTTTTTTCTGGGATGACATGAAAATTCTTCTCTGTCTTAAGACGTTAAAGTGCTTTGATTTCATGCAATTATCTCTCTGACTCCTTTGTTCTACATTCTGCTGAAGTCTGAAATTAGAGACCTGATTTTGGATGCTAGTGGAACAAGATAAGCTGGAGTAACTGCATGTCATGCTGCAAGAGCAGTCAGATATTTTCATTTGTTTATCCTTGGGATCTAACAACTAAAAATCTGGTACAGAAAATGTTGTGAATTAGGCAAACAAGACGTTTATATTTAATTGTTTCACATCTATGTTGAGTTTATACTCAAGCACTCTGCTTATCAACCACAGTTGAAACAGAAAGATCTCCTCACGTGTAAATTAGGGCTGATCTTAAGCATGATGTGACATTAGTGACTCATTTGCTTCAAAGCATTGTGTCTGTGGGAGTACTGAATGATCAAATGCACCACGGAAAGCAACACTGGGTAGATTAACAGAAACAAATGGTTTCAATAAAAGATTTTGCTTCTTACAAGAGTATGCAGCTAGGAATTGCATGGATAGAAAGAAGTGTGCTTATAGTTTCTTTGAGTGGATTACTGAAACACCAGTGCAGCAACAGTACAAAGGGCTAATGGTGAAGACTGGTAAATAATTGGTTAGTTATTAAACCTGTAACTTTTTCCTCCATGTTTTAATAAGGCCAGCACATGGGCTGTGGAAAGAATATCAGTTTGAGTATAATTTCAGGCATAATACAAAAACCCAAGGCTGAACATGAGTATGATGTTAGTCTAATGCTGGTTTTTGCTAGCTGCTGAAGGCACCAGGCTCTTCTCACTACAGCCAGTGTCCAACTGTAATGGCAGTCACAGACATCACGTACTCACTTCTATCTTGGCCTTGTGTTCAGATTCATGTACTGGACTGACTGGGGAGCCAACCCAAAAATTGAGCGCGCTGGTATGGATGCTTCAAATCGCTTGGTGATCATTTCCTCCAACTTGACGTGGCCTAATGGCTTGGCCATTGACTATGAGTCACAGCGCTTGTACTGGGCAGATGCAGGCATGAAGACCATTGAATATGCCAGTCTGGATGGCAGCAACAGGAAGGTACGGAAAACATCTTTGAGGAGGGAGTCTGGGAGCATGAGGTGCGAGTCCTAGAGCACAGAGTGCTGATGGCCCCTGCCTCTCTTTCCAGTTGAAAGTGAAATCTTCCAAATCAAGACATGCTGAACTGCTTTCACCAGGAGAGAAGTTCCCTTTCAGTTGTAACTTGTGTTTGAGGGAATCTCTGTTTGAGGGCTCACATTGCCCCACCACTGCTTGTGCTGTGTCTGTACATTATGATGTTGAGAAGGGGCAAGGGAAGCCTCTTTTCCTTAGTGACATTTAGTAATGTTTTTTGGTGGGATTGGGGGTGATCTGACTAGGTGCTGATTGGGAGCAATCTGCCTCACCCGTTTGGACTTACTCTTTATGGCGAGAGAATCTACTGGACAGACTGGCAGGCCAAAAGCATCCAGAGCGCAGATAGAAGGACTGGGCAGGCACGGGAAACGCTTCAGGACAATCTGGAGAATCTTATGGATATTCATGTTTTCCACCGGCATAGGCCACCAGGTACAGAACTCACCCCAAGCTACACTGAGCTTAGAGTTTATTCAGTCTGTAGTGTGTGTCACTGCCTCCTGCAAGGAGCTGAGCTATCTGTCAGCCCTCAGTGCCTTAAGTCATGGAAAATGAGAGAATGAGAATAACTTTCAGCTTGTACTTAAAAACGTTCTAGAATGCATTTCTGTAGCTGATAGACCCTTTCTTGTGCCCATCCTGCTGCTGTATGGGTTCCTGTTATCTTTCCTATAGTACGTACACCATGTGAAGTTAATAATGGAGGCTGCAGTCACCTGTGCCTTCTGGCACCTCGTCCAAAAGGTTATAGCTGTACCTGTCCTACTGGGATCAACCTACAGTCTGATGGCAAGATGTGTTCCACTGGTGAGTCCACTCTGTAAGACTTTCACTGGAGGTAGATCACAACTACATTCTGGTCCCCTCAAAGTTAGAGAACAAAATTTGCTTTTATGCACTTACCTGCTTTACCTGCTTGAAAAGCCAATCTTGATATCTGTACTTTCAGTGTGACAGAGAATTACTATAAAGAAACCATTTGATAACTGTATTGTTGCAGAAGAAATTGTTCTTGAAATTGCATTTGGCAACTAAACCAGATGTCACATTTTGCCCATATTTTTGCTCTGATCTTGAAGTGGATTCTTTAGTTATCAGATGCTATATTCTTTAGTAGTTCTATACATCTTCCTCTTGACCCTTATTTTGAGGATTGCAGAAAACTGTTGAATTCAGGCCATGGTACATCCATTTGCACTCCTTAATAGGAGAACTGATTCCTAATTCTTGTTTCCACTCTTTACCAGAATCAGTTCTTCCATGAGTGCACTCATTTTCAACTTGGAAATAAAGAAGCATTTCATGTCATTCAGCCCAGACTCCCGTAGGCAGAGATCTATGACTTCCCCTTTTCCACTTAGATGGATGTCAGCTCCAGAATGCTCAACAAATTATATCTGAAACTGCATGATTTTTTTTTCTCACTGATAGCTGTTCATTTTCAACTCTCTGCAGGAATGACCAGCTTTCTGATCTTTGCCAGAAGGACTGACATACGGATGGTCTCTCTGGATATTCCCTACTTTGCGGATGTCGTTGTTTCAGTCAATGTCACCATGAAAAACACCATTGCAATTGGAGTGGATCCTCATGAAGGTCTGAACTTCACAGTGTATCCAACTGCCTGTTTGAAAGGCAATAAGTGACATCAGTGTCTGAATGTCTGAGTAGAGATCTGGGTGCAGATTTTACTGTACATTGTGAACTTGAATAGGCTTTTTTTTTTCTATTATGTGGTGAAAATGTTCCTTTCCTGATGGGGATGTTCTTATATGAGGACAACCTCAACTGAATGGAAAAAGTCGTCTGCTATATTGAGTGGGGTCCCTGTGCGTTTTGGATTTAAGAATGCTTTCCACCAACCGAAGCATGCTACAGCAGTAGAGCTGAGACAGTGGCTGTTGGTTTTTACTAGAATCTGATGCAGTGTTGATGTAAACCTGTTGTATAGTAAGATCTGATTGCTCTCCTTTGGGACATTCTGAGAAATAAAATGTGGAACTCTACTACTAGCTTAAAAAGTATTATATGTTCTCTTACCTTCTGTGAAGCTCATCTTATTAGAATAGCAGAAATCTATTCTAATAGCCTGCATGTACACACCTTTGGGGGATGACTGGAACATGATCATTTGTGCTCTTCTGTCACTCTAGCTGAACAGCCTTGTGCTGCTGTTATTTCTCTGCAGTCACATCTCTCTATAGACTACACACACTATAGACTGAATAATTGCCTAGCTGGTAGTCAGACACCTGGGTCTGGACTGCAAGGATTTTAGTGATTTATTTAGGTTTCTCTTCTTCAACCCAGGAAAGGTTTACTGGTCAGACAGCACACTGCGAAAAATAAGCCGGGCTGCCCTTGATGGCTCCAAATTTGAGGACATCATCACCACAGGTAAGAGTGATTTTTTTGTCCTCTTGCCTCTGTGTAGGGTGAAAAGAGAGATGAGATTATCTGGTGGAGTAATCTCCTCAAGTTTTTGGGGGAAGGGGGGCAAAGCCTAAAGCATCTTGATTAGGTGCACAAAGGCAATATCAGAAGTTCCTGACCAAGCTGGGAGAATGAGAAGTGATTGATACACCTTTGTGTTTTCTCAGGTCTGTTGACTACAGATGGGCTGGCCGTGGATGCTATTGGCAGAAAGATATATTGGACAGATACAGGAACAAACCGTATTGAAGTGGGCAATCTTGATGGCTCTATGAGGAAAGTCTTGGTCTGGCAGAATCTGGACAGCCCACGGGCAATAGCCTTATACCATGAGATGGGGTTAGTGTTGCCAGGAGGATTATCTAGGGTTTGGGATACAACTTCTGACTTCTATTTCCATAACACTTGCTGCTTTTCCCTAGCTATATGTACTGGACAGATTGGGGTGAGAATGCCAAGCTGGAACGCTCTGGGATGGATGGCTCAGGACGCGTGGTTTTGATCAGCAACAACCTGGGCTGGCCCAACGGACTGGCAGTGGATAAGGCTGGGTCCCAGCTGCTCTGGGCTGATGCACACACTGAGGTCTGATTCTGTTCTTAGGCATTGTTTGTCATTGGATTTGTGGTAGCCTGGAGGCTGTTTTGAAACCCTTGAGCAAGCTGTGGAAAGAACAAGGGGAATATAAGCTTTTTTGAGAGCTTGGGCTCTGGGAGGGTGGAGAGGAATATCATCACTAATTCAGGCTCTGGTTGCCACTTGTAATCATTGTTAGTCATCGGTGTTTTGAGTGTGGGGCTGATGTGCTTGCTTCTTTCTTCAGCGTATTGAGGCTGCAGATCTCAATGGTGCTAACCGCCGCACCCTGCTGTCCCCAGTGCAACACCCCTATGGCCTCACTTTGTTGGACTCTTACATCTATTGGACCGACTGGCAAACTCGCAGCATTCACAGGGCTGACAAGGACAGTGGTGCCAATGTCATCCTGGTGAGGGCAAACCTGCCTGGCCTCATGGACATTCAAGCTGTTGATAGGGCACGGCCCCTAGGTGAGTTGCTAGGCTGTTCCCAAATGAGTAGTGTATGACTGTGGTGACAGTAGCCCTTGAAATCTGTCACTGAAAGGAATCCTTTGAGGAAGCATGAGTGATAGAAGTAGAGCACCAGGATCAGTTTTTCTTTTCTTCTTCTCTCTTGTGTAACTATTTTTAAACTTTTTCCTGTTTATCCAGCTCCTTAGGTCTGTTGTTTATTTCTTACTGCACTCCTTTCTTCCCCTTCATTCCATTTCCTATGCTGGATTGTACAGACAGTCTCATTCTCACACACATCAGGGCCTTTTTTTAAGAGGACTGAATGAGTCATGCCATGTTACACTTCACCTGAGTGAGTCTACTGGGAACAGACTCATCTTTTTTAACTCCAAAAGATGCTCATTCCTCTTAAGCTCGTTGTTGAAACCTTAGTTCGAGTAATTTTTTTGCCCAGACATAGCAGGCTTCATCTTTGTTCTATAGAATCAATGCTTCTTTAGCTGATATTAATATATCATACTTTCAAAACTATTCTTTGCTAGAGCCAGATTCCTTATGTTACTCTTTGGGGTCCTATACAACCTCATCTTGCCTCCTTGTTCTTGAGTCTGAGTTGCTGCTTTATTTCAGCGGAATTTCCCCAGTGTGTACTTCTACAGAAAACTCTTTACTGCTTCTGCTGTAGCTGCTAACTGTAGAACATTGCTCTTGACATATAATTTTATGGTATAACTTCAAGCTATTAGAAGCTCCAGCCATCATATATCCTGGTTGTTTCCCCCACTCTGCTCCTTTTGGGCTTCTCCTCCTATTCCTTGCACCTTCTGTGCTTATCCACTCCAAACAAATATGTGCTGGTTTTTCAATTTAAAAAAACTACAGCAAAACCCTAAGATATGACCCTAATATGTCAAACACTTGCAACAGGCTTCTCTGATGCTTTTGTTTATTTGTCACTGTGTGCAGCTAACTTGAAACAGAAGCTTCTTTGTCAGCCTGGCCTCTGGTGCATTGTTGTGCTGCTTCTTCACAGGGTGAGATCCTTCAGTCAGCATTATTTCTTTGCAGCTATTATAAAGATCAGCTGCAATTCTGTGAATCTATCAGCATTTGGCCAGTTCTTTTTCCAAGAGAAAATTATGAAGAGCTGTAGATTCTCAGAGAGGCTACAGTTAGGATGAACTCAACTGCTAGCAGGTTACGCATGTATGTAGCCTTTAAAATTAAGCTTCGGTCTCCTGGAGACACATTGATCCTAAAACTGTGCTTTTCCTACTTCCTAAGGCTTTAATAAATGTGGAGTTCGTAATGGTGGCTGCTCTCACCTTTGCTTGCCTCACCCCACTGGATTCTCCTGTGCCTGCCCCACTGGCATCCAACTGAAACGAGATGAGCAGACTTGTGACTCTTCTCCAGAGACATACCTGCTTTTCTCTAGCCGTGCTTCCATTCGTCGTATCTCGCTGGATACCAGTGACCACACAGATGTGCACATCCCCGTCCCCGAGCTGAACAATGTCATTTCTCTGGACTATGACAGTGTGGATGGCAAGATTTACTACACAGATGTTTTTCTTGATGTCATCAGGTGAGTGCCAATGATCTACTTGGCCACTGCCCAGGTCACCTAGCTATGTGTGCTGGCTGTGCCACAGCAAGCTGTGGAGTGCCATTAAGTTGAGGGAACCAGGAGATGCTGTCAATATACCACTGCTCACACCTAGTCTGTGGCACACAACATCATATTGTTGAACTAAATGCTGAAGGTGTATTTAACCTCCTGGAGATTATGGGGAAAAAGATGTTTGGGAAGTAACAGTATGAACCCCCCTGTGGTTAGGGAGACTTCCTTGTGCGATCGCCATCAGGAACTATCCATTCCTCACTACCATCCACTTGTCTTTTATTTCTATTCAGGCGGTCTGATCTGAATGGCAGCAACATGGAAACTGTTATTGGTCAGGGCCTGAAGACTACAGATGGTCTGGCAGTGGACTGGGTTGCTAGGAACCTCTACTGGACAGACACAGGACGCAATACTGTTGAAGTAGCTAGACTGGATGGGAGCTCCAGGAAAGTGCTAATCAACAACAGTCTGGATGAGCCCCGAGCCATTGCTGTCTTTCCCAAGAAGGGGTAGGTATGGGGATATTGGTGGGACAGGGAGAATGGCTGTACAGAGGCAGGTTGGAGGGCGAGGATGTGAGTGGAAAAACAGATGTGCTGTCCGCATCTGTAGGCACCAGCCAGGGTCTGACTGAGTGACGGAGGATATCGAGCAGAGAGTAGATTTTAAGATTGGACAGATAGTTGGGAGTCACAACCTACAGAGCACGTGAGCTTTTTTTGAATCTGAAGAATGTGGCAGTTTAATTGGTAAATAAAATTTTTAGTAGGTTGAGCGAAATGTTCTTTTCTTGTTGCATTTGCTTTTTATCTCATTAGGTACCTCTTCTGGACAGATTGGGGTCATATTGCTAAAATTGAACGGGCAAACTTGGATGGCTCTGAACGTAAAATCCTGATCAACACTGACCTAGGATGGCCAAATGGCTTGACCTTGGATTACGACACCAGAAGGTCAGTGAGATAATTTGCTTTACCTGTATGGAATTAAGAATGAATTTTCTTCAGCTTTCCTAGCTTGGTTTCATGAAGAAATTTGTTCCATCCAATCCATCTTGGCTAGAAAATGACTAGAAAGTAAAAAGGAATTGCACAGGTGGAAGCTCACCTCTTGCTCTGTTCCTGCAGGATATACTGGGTGGATGCGCATCTTGATCGCATAGAGAGTTGTGATCTCAATGGGAAGCTACGGCAAGTGCTGGTCAGCCAGGTGTCACATCCTTTTGCTTTGACACAGGTAAAAAGATTTCCCCCCCATGCTGCTACCATTCTCTCTGCTGTGTTGATGAATTTGGACAGTAGTGGAGTGTGGGGACAAGCAATTGTTGTAGTCTGTGGTAAACAAAGAGAGCTGAGGGGCTAATAGCTACACTTCTGTGGAGTTAACAGGAGGAGATTTGTACGAAAATGTGTAGGGTGTAGATAGTTGTCATCTTTATGAGAAAGGGTTGAGAAGGTTTTTATTTGGGCCCTTGGGCCTTGGGATATTTTTTTGATGGGTATTCTGTGTCTGTGTGGCTAAACATCCTAATGGTTCTGGGTTTTTTTGTTTTGTTTTGTTTTGTTTTTTCCCTACATGCTATCTCCCTGAGTAGCAGGACAGATGGATATATTGGACTGACTGGCAAACCAAGTCTATACAGAGAGTGGACAAATACTCTGGGCGGAACAAAGAGACGGTCCTGGCCAATGTTGAGGGGCTGATGGATATAATTGTGGTTTCCCCTCAAAGACAGACAGGTAAATAGGAGGGCCTTCATTTGGGCAAATGATAAATGGATGCAAAAGGAAAATTTAGAACCACTGTGCTATCGTAGATGTCAAGTGAAGTTGGTGTCTTTTCTTGGATGTAAACTGTTAATGTATCTTCTCTGGGCATGTTTTTTCTAACCATGACATTTCAGCCAAGTATGTCTTGACTATATTCTTACAGCTTTGATCAGCAAACCACTTCCTGTGTTATTCATCTGACACTGTGTTAAAGACAGAATAATGTAAGCTTGTTTTTAACTGTGGTGACTGAGCTGTTCTCTATTGATTTCCAGTGCCTTCCTATCAAGATTGTCTCACTATTATCACAGCTTTCTTAGCAATCAGATGTAGGGCATGTGCCAGAGGATAGTAATTTGCTGCATTTCTAGGAAGTGTCTTCCTGAGCAGGAAAAAATTTGCTGCTCTGAGCTCCTACCTAGATAGTTGCAAGAAATTTTAAATTTTCTTCTTCCTTCCAGGTACCAATGCTTGTGGAGTGAACAATGGAGGCTGCACTCACCTCTGCTTTGCCAGAGCTTCTGACTTTGTCTGTGCATGCCCAGATGAACCAGATGGGCGACCCTGTTCTACTGGTGAGTTTTGTGAGCATCACTTGAGTACTAGCTTCCACATGAGCCATTGCCATTATTTGATGCTGCTCATCTATGGCAACCAGAGCATCTGAAGTTCTCCATTACAAGAACTTGTGCAAGCCTTATTCTTAAAGTAAGACTGCTGTGAGCAGCACAGCTTTCTTCTGTCCTTTTTGCTGATGAGCTGGGTTTGCAATGGGAAAGCTGCAGATACAAGTTCTGACGCTTCCCATTTCAGAATCTCGCTATAGCTTACCAGTCTTGTTCACCTATTCCACAAAGTTGGAGTCCTGTTTATTTTTCTGTGTTGTCTTAGTTCCTGGTGTGGTGCCCTTTGGTCCCGAAATCACTAGTGAGAGAAGTCAGACACCACCTGGCAGAATAGGTACCTCAACAACCAAGCCTCTTACATCTCTGGAAGAAGAGGAAGGAAAGTAAGTACTCTTGTTCTCTTGGAATTGGGGTGTGAAAATTATTGTTTGTTTAAGTTCAAGCCCTCTCTAGCTGTTCCTACCCAAAAGAGGTTATTCCAGCTCCAGACCAGACACAATGAAGAGTTAGAATCCTCCTGAGTCCATGCCATTCATTTGATTTATTTAACAATTCCAAGGTTCTTAAAATTAGAGGAGATGGCAGTCTGTTGCATTTTTTCTGCAAATTCCCTACAGCTTGCTATTCCTACTACCCAGAGGAAAAAAAAAAAAAGTATACTGGAGAAGAAAAAGAAAGGCTTTTGTTGTTGAATTGGAAGTTTAAGGAATTTCAGTGCTAGCCTGACCCATTCTGTCTTTTGATACCTTTGGTACTACTTTCAGTAACAGAATACTCCAGGAGTTGGACTCAAAGATCCTCATGGGTCCCTAGCAACTTTGGTTACTCTGTGATTCTAATTGTGTCCTTTTGTCTTTCAGCTGCTCTGACAAAGACGCCAGGCGAGGCTTGTGTACTCATGCCAATGAGGCAGTGTTGGCAACGATGGGTGAGTTCCTCCTCTTTACTCTTTTACACCAGTATTCTTCCAGATATGCCCAGAACATTCCAGTCCATAGTGTTTGAAATGAAAACTTCTGAAAATCAAACTTGAATTTCTCCAATGCCTTCTGTGCAACGTGTATCTGAAAATGAACATCGGTCATAAACATTCACTAGCCTATATAGGAGCTTTTCACACTGAAGTATCATTTGAAATAATAACGTTTTCTGTTTTGATCCCCTACATCATCCACTGGGCTATCACTACTAATGCTACCCCACCTCACCATCCTCTTTGTGTTTATCTGAGGGTGGTAGTTAGGATAATGGTTTCCCACTGCAGGAGTAACCTGTCAGCAAGGAAGTCCAACTCATCTTTATTCAACAGCTTTACAAATATCTTGATGCTCCTGGTTTGCTGGGACCTGGGTGGGAAGAAGGGCTTTGTTCATATCACACCAAACAAAAGCCTTTGCTAAAGCTCAGCATGCTGACGTTTTGCTTCACGTACTTCCATATGGTTTTTATAATTCTGTATGAGGTGTTACACTGATGTCAGTGTTACCCAGTGGAAGTTAAGAAAGGTGTATAACATACCCTTGCTGTTCACTTTCAGGTGAGGGACTGCATGTTAGCTACATCATTGGAGGTCTTCTCAGCATCTTGTTCATTTTGCTGCTTATTGCTTCTTTAATCATATATAGGTGAGTGATATTTTTCCCTCTCTTGGACCATAGTAAAATCTAGCCTTCTTAGAAGCAGGAAGCTATTAAAGAGCACTTTGTCTTTCCTTATTGTCATTTACAATCCATTTGTTCTCATTTGGAAGTGTTGATTTTTGCTGAATTGATTAGCACGGTTTGCTTCCTGTCCCTTTGAAGTGTTGGACATGCCCCTACCACGTATTTTTGAAGCCTTATTAGCTAAATTTTCTGTAGAGAGCTTAGGTTTAAGGAAAGGGATGTGTGATAATTCATATCTCGGTACACGTGTGGACTCGTGTTCTCTGCCAGGTAGCCTCTCCAGTTATTGTCAGTATAGCTTTTGTGGTTACATGGCAGTGCCTTGCTGCACTGGTAGGTAGTGAGTATACTGGTAGCTGAAGGGCATGGTAAAATCAGCAGTCTGTCTTTGTAGGGCAGTGAAGATTGCTGGAGCTTTCCGCTCAGGAACTTCAGATCCTGGCAGTAGGGCTCTGCTTTTTTTCTAACGCCTCTTTTCCTACAGGCATAATAAATCCAAGTTCACAGACCCTGGCCTAGGGAACCTAACCTACAGTAATCCCTCGTATCGGACATCTACCCAGGAGGTGAAGATTGAAACAGTTCCCAAGCCAACAATGTACAACCAGTTATGCTATAAAAAAGAGGTAAGAGCTGCTATTAAGGACATGGGAACCCAATTCAAGCTGCTGTTAAGGCCTTCATATGTGAAAATGTTGCAGCTTGTTAGCATTTACCCTTTAGAACATGAGAGAACAGCTTCAATAAATTGCTCAGTTAGACTTTTTTGCATCAACCAGCAGTATTTCTTCTCCAGAGCTGCAGTGACTGGTCTTTAGTTCTGTGCTTCTTACCCACTTCCACAATGTCTTGTACTTCAGTAGCCAGCACTCAATGCGAATGAAGTACAGGCATCAAAGGGATTTGTCTTCCCTGGACACAGTCCCCAAAGCAACCTTAGGGCAACAACCAGGAGGGGAGCCAGGCAGCCAGAAAGAATTTGTTAATAAGAATGTGACTCCTGGCTATATGCTTCATGGAAGGGGTGGGACAAGAAAAGAAATGGAGCCCTTAATAAATAAAGCACATGACAGGCTCCACAGAAGTCCTCCTCATGTGTGTGGCATGATAGAGAGTGTTTAATGCATTGTCTTGCAGCACTTAGTTTCTCCTCTTTTTTCTCCTCAGAAGCTTTCCTATCACTCAGATAGTTTTTCATCTTCCCTCTTCTGATTTCCACCTACATCCTCATGTCAGGTATCACTATTCTATGTATGTGTTTGATCCTGGCTCCCTCACTCAATCTCTGCTGTGTAGCTGTCCCATACTAATTACTCTTCCATGTTTTTCCATCAGCTTTTATGTCCTTAAGTCAGCTTTACAGTCTGCCAAGAAAGCTGAGGTCATTTTCTATGGTCTTGGCCTTGGCTACGTAGAACATGAGATCTGAAAAAGATAATTTCTGTACAAGTATTTAGACAGCCTGTTAGATTACTTAACTCCTCAAGCAGGGATTGAGGCAAGGCTTATGCAGAGGAGAGCTTTTCCTTGCTTTTTTTTCAGACATAGTATGTGATAGATTTCCCCAAATTTCGTGCAATTTTAGCCTTGTCTACAAAGGATGATTTTTCTGGGAATCTAAATCCTTTCCATGATTCTTTTTAATTCTGTTGCTCTTAGTTACACCCAGATATGTTCTCCCTTCACTTTCTTCCCTGAGTTTACATCAGATGTTTTAATGCTCATATATGTCAGTGAGCCAAATAAGGCAGATTTCATTAACTGAATCTCAGTGGGGTCCTGCTAGCCTCTGATGATTTCCACTGTTTCCCTGTAATCTTATTCCCCTCTATCATGATGGGACTTAAACTCAACATTCCAACTGTGCTTTACTAAGAGGTGAATCTGGAATGACTCAGACAAAGATATTGCAGTAAAATCTATTCCCTAACCCTACCTACTTTTGCCACTTCTAGCTGTTCCTGCTTTGCATGTTTTGTTTGTTTGTTTTTGCTTTTATTTATTTATTTTGGTTGGGGTTCTTATGCTTGTTTTTGTTCTTGCTCCCTGCTGTCAGGTGTTGCATATAGCTGAATTAGGAGAGACGGTTCATGCTCATTTCCATTCCACAATTTAGAGGTTCCTGCAGGGAGGTGAAACTTAGAACAGGTTCTGCCATTGTGACAGCCAGAGCCAGTGGATGTTTACATGAAGGTCTAGCCTTTTGTCTGCTTCACTGTCTTTGTTCCAGCTCTGCTTTGCTCTTTGCCTTATTTTTCCATGGATGTATTATTTTTTCATTTATCTGTCTGCTCCTTAGACTGGTCCTGATCACAGCTACACCAAGGAGAAGATAAAGATTGTGGAGGGGATATGCCTTTTATCCAGTGATGATTCAGAGTGGGATGACCTTAAGCAAATTCGGAGCTCTCGAGGAGGGATCCTCCGGGACCATGTTTGCATGAAGACAGACACAGTCTCTATCCAGGCTAGTTCTGGTTCACTGGATGACACTGAAACTGAGCAGCTGCTACAGGAAGAACAGTCTGAGTGCAGCAGTGTTAACACAGCAGCGGCCACTCCTGAACGGCGTGGCTCACTCCCAGACACAGGCTGGAAACACCAACGCAAGCCCTCCACTGAGAGCGAGGTCTAAAGTACATGTTGCTTTAGAAACGCTTGAACCCTCCCTAGCCTCTGTTCTGCACAAAAGAAGACAGGACTCTGCCTGGCAAGCAAGGAAGGGCCCAGAGACTAGCTCCTCTTGTGAGGGGCCCAGAGACTGTGACTGCCTTTTAGCAAGGAGCTTGGCCAGCTGTGCTGTTGTGGTTGAAGAGGGAGGATGGGTGGGTTGGATGGAACCCAGAGACCCTTTCGGCTCATTTTCACTGTGTCTCTGGTTTATTTATATGTTCTCTTTTCTTGGAAGCTGCCATTTTAACTTTTGCAGTGACTCCTCTGGCCTGAATCTAGTCCAGATGCTGAGTTCTCTGGCAACCTGCAAGTCCTATGCTGTCCAGCTCACAGTCAATGCCCATGAAGACAGCGCAGCTGCCATTATGCTAGCTGCTGGTCACAGAAGTTCCCCTAGTCATTCCATCAGTAGCAGCACTCTTGAAGGCTTTGTGATGTTGGGGCTGTGCTTGGAGAGATGTCTGGGAGTATGTGGGATGTACTCTGGGGCTCAAGGGGACAGTGGCACAGCATCAGGGCATAAAGAGGCTAACCACAGTTGTTGCAATGACCCACTTCATGGAAGCATCATTGCTTACGTTCCCATCTGCTAAGGAATTCTCAGATTGGAGCACAGTGTCTGTTGCTGGCAGTGGGCACTGCTCCTATTCTCCCCTTTCTCACTGAAAAAATGTTTCTACTCCAGAAAATAAGTCAGCAAGTGGCCCTTTCAGGACTGCTCCCAGTGGGTGCAGGAGTCAAGGGTGCTGTACTTGAGGAAAGTATGTTCTTAGTTCTAGAGAATTAATGTGAGGAAATGAATCTCAGCCAGATCTAAATTTTACTCTTGCCTTCTTTTTTTTTTTTAATTTGCTAAATCTCCATTGATCCCAGTTCTGCAAGATCCCAGTTCTCTTGACCTTACTGACTTTTTTTTTTTTTTTTTTCCTCCATAATGAGGAGAAAAAAGATGATTCCTAGGATGAGTTTCCCTCAGTGGAATCCTCAGTGCTGACAGTTAGGAGCTGCTTTATTACGAGGCTGAGCCCATTTGACCCAGAATAGGAGACAATAGTCACAGAGCTGCAAGGGCTATGTTAAAATAGTTGTTTATCAGAGAGAATGACACTTTAAGTAAGCTCTAGTGTTACTACTAAATAGCTCTCCTTGCAAAGACATTTTTTCCCATCAGCTGTGCAAGCCTCAGTTATTCTCTGGCTTCCAAAGCCTTTATCCTCTAGAGGGTAAAGGTAATGCTATGCTTGCAGTTGTACCCCAGCAGCAGCTGGAGCTTGCTCAAGACCTGTTGCCACTTTTTCATACTTCCATGGCTTCCTATTATCTATTTCTTCAGCTGGAAAAGAAGAGAAAATCTCTGGACGCTCCTTCAAAACTGAGATTTCTATCAACCCCTCAAGTCACGTGGGTGCTATCATGGTTAAATACTAAGTGTTAAGGCAGATATTTGGAAGCAGAACTTTCCAGTGAGGAATTTCCCACAGCAGACTGTGACCTCTTTGTCTCCTAGGAAGAAGCCAAGTACATTCCCACCCATGATGGAAGGAGAGCAAAGCATGCAGTAGGAGTACAGGAGAGGATGCATCTCCTGTGCAGTATTTTTCCAGCTATTAAAAAAAGGAAAATCAATCCTATTCAACTTCAATCTTGTTCATATACTAACAGTCCTGCGGCTCCTGAAAACATGATGGTTGTCAGCAGGTTGGCTGTACTTTTTATACCAGAGGTAGCTGTGCAGCAAGGTAAAGGTTGCAATTTTAACCTGGCTGGGTGGCATAAACTCTGTTCATAAATGCACCATTGGGCTGACTGGTGTATATTCCTGTGGAAAATGAACTGGAGCTAAGGCTTGGAAAATTCTGTGTTAATGTGGAACCTTCCCTACTCCCAGAGGGGTTTTGTTTTTTAAATTAGATTTTTTATTTAATTATTTATTTGATTGACTCCAGCCTGGGAAACATTGTTTTTGTTGGGCAGGGGCACTTCTGGATTGAGACATGGACTTGACTGGGAGCTGAGAAAGGATTACATATCACTGACACACATCTGTCCTGTCTGGGCTGCTGCACACAGGGGCATCAAAGGCTCAAGCGTAGGCAGGCGAATTGGTTTGAAGGGAAGCCATGTACAGAGGTGGAGGCATTAGAAGTGAGATGTGCGGGTGGATGGAGGAACAGTTAGTTTTTGTTTGTTTCTTCCCCCTCCCCTCCAAATATCTTTTGTGCACCAAACTCTTGAGGTGGGAGGGGGGTGGAGGGAAACATCTGCCTGTTCCTGTCTCTCGAGGTTCAGTCAGCTGAAATAGTTGCTATCTGAGTTACAAGGGCAGAATGGAAAGGAAAACCCAGTCAGTCCTTTCAACAGCTGATGGTGCTTGTGATCTCCACTGTAGTATATTCTCTGCTGCTGCTTAGGAGGGACGCTGCACACTCCAGCCTAGCAATTCATAACTGCTTTCTGCTCTCTTCTGGAATCAAATATGGCAAAAAAAAGGCGCAACTCAATGTCCCCCAGCCTCTCCTCCCCAAGTGAGGAGGGCAGAAATTAAGTAAAAGACCTTCATTGCACTTAGGCTGTTACGAATGTAAGAAGGCCGCTAGAGGATGATCTCTTGAGCACTGATTTACTATGTACAAAGCAAACCTCTCTCCTGTCTGTCCCGAGATAACGTCTGTGATTTCCCTGTGTTCCTGTGTAATGGTTTTAATGTTACTCACTGGAGACATCAGAATTTCTGGAGTTATTTAACCACTGTGTTCAGTATTTTAGGGGTTGATGATAATTTAATATAAATTTAGCTTTTCTTAACCACTCTGCCTGGCTTTTGGTTGTGAATCGTGCATGGTATTTGGATTCCCCTTTGAAAGAGGTGCTCCCAGCTCTGTTTACACAGAACCCCACCTGTATTTCATTTGGGAGGAGCAAGAAGGCACAAATGGATGTGGGTTGTCCTCGTGACGGGATTGTAGCACACAATTCTGCCACTAAGGCCTCAAAGCAAGGGTCAGATAGCTATGCTCACTTGCACATTCCCACATGCTCGCACTCTGCCCCAACCTGCTATTTTTGTTAGCATTTTAACATAGCAGCAGCCTAGGAGCATAACCCTCTTTTTTGAAAGGAATTTAATAGCACTGTGGTCTCCAGCACTGTACACCACAGGAACCTGTGGTTGTTTTGTGCCTCCGCCAACTAGAAAACGTGGCTCTGAAGAAAAGATGATTTTCATCTCTTTGAGTTTTCATTCAAGAACACAGAAGGCTGAACAACAACTGAAATGCTCGGAAATAACCATTCTGCAGTACTACTGCTCACCCGCTGTTCCCTTCTACCCAGTTCCGATGGAAATAAGTACCAACACGATTTCAAATGCTTTAGTTTTATAGCTGCCCGTCCTTACCCACAGATGACACATAGTGTAGAAGCGGCACAAGGGGCCGCGTCTCCCGCAGGCCGCTTCCAGCCGCGCTCCTTTACCTTGGAGTTACCATCTCTACCTCACCCCGAGGCTGCCGAAGCGGAGCGGCGGGCTGTGCCCCCACCTGCGGCCAGTAGCGGACTCGCCGACCCCGTGCCCACGGCAGGGTGTCCGATCTGCCCACGGCAATGCGCCGTCCTGAGCCAGCCCGGCAGTGCGCGGAGCACGCAACGCTGCTGTCCGATTCAAACGGACCAATCAAGCGCACTCTTGCGGGAGGGGGCGGGGCTGTCGGCGGCCAATGGGCGGCGAGGACACTGGGAGGTGCGGGCGGTGTTAGCGATTTCAAACCGCGCTGAGCAGCGGCTGGACACTCGCCGCGCCCGACCTGCCGGGCCCAGGTGAGATCCGCCCCCCATTTCTGTGGGGGCCGCTTCCTTTCCTGTGTCGCCCGCCGCGCTTCGCCAGACCCGTGGGCCGCTGGGTAGGCCTCCATTCTCTGTTGGGCCTGGCCTCCCGACCCCGTGAGGGGGCTGCGGAGGAGGTGTGGTTCGTGGTGGCCTCCCGTGGGAGCGGGCCCGGGCACGGGGGATTCATTCGAGCCGCTTTCGTGACCACGGAGAAGGCGATGGTTAACGGGGGAGGCCGCGGCCTGTGCTGCGGGGCTGTGAGGGGCGCCGGGGTGGCCGGGAGTTGCTGGGCTGGGCCGGCCCGGCCCGGCCCGGCCTATCCTTGGACTCGCTAAAGGAGGCTGTATGTAGAAGTAGTTTTGTTTGCATAACGTTCTGGGGTAACGTTCCCTCGGGTGAGGATGGTCCTAAAGCAGAAGCCATGGAGGTATCTGTGTTTCTGAAGCCCTGGCACTGAGTTCAGGTGTTGGTCTGGGATCCCTTGTGTCTCTCGTCTGAAGGTGCTTCCTGCTGGGCCTTCTGTAGTACTCTCAAAGGGGGGCTGGCAGGAGTGGGGATTCCCACCGTTCTCCTATGTTGTTGGATTCAGTCAGAATCCTGTGATTTGTCTCCAGGCAGGAGCTTTCATGTTGCTGTGTAGGGGGTTTTCCTCCTAAATTTGGATCTTTAACAACATTGAAGAGCAGGTGCTGGGGAATAGGAATTCTGTGCAGCACAAGCTGACCCTATCTCTGCTACTTAAAAAACAATGGAAGCTGCATATACCTCTAAACTCATGTGCTGTAACTTTCTATCTGGGTTTTTCTTTAATCTAGGTTTTTCTTCAGTATGTATCAGCTATGGAATTATCCTGGGGTTTCCCTTCTTTTTTTTTTTTCTTTTTTCTTTTTTTTTTTCCCCTCCTGATTCTTATTTTGAGTGTTGTATGGTACTACTGAAAGCTCCTTTCTGCAGACAAGAACAGTATGTGTGAATGTTGGGATGCTGGGCTGTCAGCTATGGAGGAAAGCATGGCTACAGACTTGCAGTGAATGTATCTGTCGGGTTGAAATTGTGAAGCTGTATGTTCTCAGGCGCTGATAGCGGCTCAAATGTTGAAGTGTTACAAAAGGCTACTATTGAAACTCCCCAGTAGTATTAAGTCAGAAAGAAGAATGAGGGTGTACAAGCTGTCATTATAACTGATGCTTTTGGTCACTAATACTGGATCAGTTGATTGTTTGAAGTTAGAATTTAGTATGACTGTCTCTTTCCCCAAGTTTGGCCTATTTTTCAACTGCTGGTTTTGTAGCTTTCCTCCATTTAAAACTTGTAGATGTTGTTTTTTTTTCACCCCCTTTAGATGATTGCAATAGAGTTACAGCTTTAAGCTACAGAGAGAAATTGATATATGAAAGCGGGCTCAACAAAAATGAACTGGTTCTAAATGAATTATTGCAGATGTATTTATTGAAGGTAATCCTAAAGAATACAGAATTGGGACTATTAAGCAGGGGGTTAGCTATGGAAAAGATTATTTGTGACATCTGTACAGAAATAGATAAAAACTTGATTTGAGAGGCCCAAATAATTAGTTAATCACACTGCTGGACTTCCCATTTGCTGGTCTTAATGTTAAAAACCAACTACATGGTAATGCGTTGTTATTCCTGATTCTCATACACGCATGACTTGAATCTGTGGGACCTGTATCCATGCTGACTCTTGGCCTCTCCTTCATACAGGCCTGTTATGTGATCTGGGCCTGTATTCCAAAATCCTGGGCTGTGCCACTGTGCAGCTGAATGTCTCCTACTGATGTCTGAGCTGTAAGGTCTCGTTCCCCTTTGGCAGTTCCAAAACCTGGTTTCTAGCATATATTAAGATTTGTTTTTCTCTCATGTGTCTCTTTGGTGATAAATTTACATCTGAAATTTACTTGGCATGTTGTGAGCTTTTTCAGTCAATCTTTTCTTTTTTTTTCTTTTTCCTTTGCTATTCTGAGTAATTATCTGCCAACTGCAAGACTGCTGTTCACTCCTTTGATAGGTCACTTATGTATATCTC